CTAAAAAAAACAAAAAAACAAATATTTTTTGTGTCTAAACACCCGCCAAGTCTGCCAGGTGCGTGGGGTGCACAGCTGCACGCACTCATTGTCTGTTCGTGACAAATGCAATAGAAGAATATGAATGAATGAGTTCATGTCCTGCTGCGCTGACAGATGCATCTGTCTTCTTGCAAATAAGATTGAGGCTTGTCAGTTCTGTCGCCCAGCAGCTGTATTGTCGACTGCCAGATTCTCCAAGTATCCTCACCGAAGGATGGTGGCCCTCCTTTACGTCTGCGAGATTTCCGGAATCAAAATCGGCTTGGAATAGATATTTCCCCACCTGCGGTCCAACCTCTCAATAGCTCAACACGCTCTTGAATGGATCAGTATGATAATTTTAATGGCTGCATTTGGTTTGAGGTGGCTGGAAGGCAGATGTCTTTGACGCCTGGATGATGTTGCCGTTGCCAAAGGATTTCTAACCGCACTGCGGATACTATTGTACTATACATTGTATTATATAATATGTAACATTGACAACATCGGATAATATAGTATTATATATTATATTATATCATTATATGGATATTATTTCCGGCGCCATCGTGTTTCCCATGAATTATTGGCTCGGTTTCTTTATCTAGCGCCACAAATAGGAACTGTTCCACAATCTCCAATTCGGCATGGCAATGTGGCCAAGGAATACACGCAGTGGCTGCATCAAAACGTCATTCTATGGAACGCTGTTTGTGACCTCTACTTCCGGTTGAAGGACACGTGCAAAGCGGTGCCATATATCCATCCGATCGGTGTCCGATGACATTGGGGAAAACGTAGCAATAATTGGCTGTCAAATGTGGAGCATCGTGAGCAAAAGTAGCAACAAAAAGTAGCCGGAAAAAAGGGGGGGGAGGGGCTCTCCCGGCGGCAATGGGCCTATCTATGTAGTACATAGATATGTACATAGTATGTATGCATCCTGACCGCCGACTGAGATTTGGGCAGTGCGTGAGCATTGCATTTGAAATAGGCACCTTGTGGCCCAGCGCTGCGTTCGTGGGAATTCAAGACGATCTCCAAACATTGGCATTGGGCACCCAGAGAGGCTTTTGCGCAGCTGGTGAATGTTGAGTCCCAAAGAGATCCAATGCTCCGCAACTTCGTGTACTTGCAGTGGGCCATGTTCATGTAAAATATGCGGCTAAGTGTGGATCAAAAGTGCATGGCACGGGCATTTTCTCCAGCATGTGGCCGTTTGCGCATCCAGTTGACTACCTGCCACTTTCTGTTTCCCCTGAATTCCACAGGAGGGGGATACATCGAGCCGGCTAAAAGGCGGAGATCGGCATCAGCCAGTGAAGCACGCAATTTCCCCATTATCCTGACAGTTCCCCTCGCCTCCTCGGTGTAGCTTCAAATCAATACCTGCGTGGCAACTGTTTTGAATTTTTGGCGGCAGACACCATGTACGACTTGATGTGCAAGCTGGCCTCAAGCTGACACCTACTGTATTCCCAGTTATAGAACACAACGCGCTTTCGTATCGATACGCTCGCACATATATATACGACCACATTCTGAAAACAGGGTAAAAATTTGATGCACATATTAGGACCGGCTTGCCGGTACGGCGCCGGTCTGGCGCTGGTTTGGCAACGCACCTAATATACAGGGAGCAGTCAGAGGACCCCCTTTTGTCAAATGCACCCCCACAGAGGACCCCCTTTTGTCACAGAGGACCCCCTTTTGTCAAGATATCTCACAGAGGACCCCCTTTTGTCAATTTCCCTATTATATATTATATTATATCATTATATGGATATTATTTCCGGCGCCATCGTGTTTCCCATGAATTATTGGCTCGGTTTCTTTATCTAGCGCCACAAATAGGAACTGTTCCACAATCTCCAATTCGGCATGGCAATGTGGCCAAGGAATACACGCAGTGGCTGCATCAAAACGTCATTCTATGGAACGCTGTTTGTGACCTCTACTTCCGGTTGAAGGACACGTGCAAAGCGGTGCCATATATCTATCCGATCGGTGTCCGATGACATTGGGGAAAACGTAGCAATAATTGGCTGTCAAATGTGGAGCATCGTGAGCAAAAGTAGCAACAAAAAGTAGCCGGAAAAAAGGGGGGGGAGGGGCTCTCCCGGCGGCAATGGGCCTATCTATGTAGTACATAGATATGTACATAGTATGTATGCATCCTGACCGCCGACTGAGATTTGGGCAGTGCGTGAGCATTGCATTTGAAATAGGCACCTTGTGGCCCAGCGCTGCGTTCGTGGGAATTCAAGACGATCTCCAAACATTGGCATTGGGCACCTAGAGAGGCTTTTGCGCAGCTGGTGAATGTTGAGTCCCAAAGAGATCCAATGCTCCGCAACTTCGTGTACTTGCAGTGGGCCATGTTCATGTAAAATATGCGGCTAAGTGTGGATCAAAAGTGCATGGCACGGGCATTTTCTCCAGCATGTGGCCGTTTGCGCATCCAGTTGACTACCTGCCACTTTCTGTTTCCCCTGAATTCCACAGGAGGGGGATACATCGAGCCGGCTAAAAGGCGGAGATCGGCATCAGCCAGTGAAGCACGCAATTTCCCCATTATCCTGACAGTTCCCCTCGCCTCCTCGGTGTAGCTTCAAATCAATACCTGCGTGGCAACTGTTTTGAATTTTTGGCGGCAGACACCATGTACGACTTGATGTGCAAGCTGGCCTCAAGCTGACACCTACTGTATTCCCAGTTATAGAACACAACGCGCTTTCGTATCGATACGCTCGCACATATATATACGACCACATTCTGAAAACAGGGTAAAAATTTGATGCACATATGCTTGGAAAAAACATGGACTGATGATCACCAATTTAGGTGATCACTTATCGGGCCACTTGTTTCATGTTCTGTTCGTCAATTCCACTGCGGACAAAGCGCACTCTTGGTTGTGCTTTGTTTCCCACATTTCTATATGACAAAAGTCAGGATGGTGGCGCAGTGAAAACAGCATCAATGCCATTTTCACTTCGTAAATATTTACGAGCGGGGTGCGCGATTCCTCGTCAACAGAGATGTGATGGAGAGAGTAGGGCTCTGATTGCTGATAGCTGCATAAGTTGGCTGTGAAAACTCAGGTGCATTTCGTCAACGTGTTGTCGTGAAAGCGGTTGGAATCCACACGACACTGCCCTCAGCAATAAGCGCAATCGGCTGGTGGTCAGAAAGCTGAAAAGCTGGCATACGTTCTCATTTCTCAAATCAAGGAACAAGTTAGAAGCAAAAGACACGGGTAGATGGTAGCAGTTAGTAATGGTGGCGAGATGGGGCCATCCAGTTAGCTGCGGTATGCAGAGCTTTCAATTCGCAGCATGTTGGACAACGCTGAGTACTGATGGAAAGAAATATAATTGCATCTGTGCAATATACTGTGCTCGGCAAGTTGATGCAGTTAAATCGCGTTTCTGCAGTCGAAACGCCTGCTCAGAAATCTGCATCGCCGCATTATACTCCACCGCATCGCATCAAACTTGCTGTTGTGCAGCTGCGCACAGAACTGATATTGTTTGCATTCCATGCTCAGAATTCTCAGCATTTCGTTCGAACAAAAATCCTCTTCTTTGAGCGAATGCAAAGAATATCATGTCTGTACTTAATGCGAAATTCAACATATACATATTTGTCCATGTTCTGAACATGCTATTTAGCACGTACAGATTATGCATAACACGAAATCCTGTCGCGCATTCACTAATAAAAAAGGGGCCGAATGCATGATTTTGAAATGGCGTACCGTGTATCACGATTGAGAATCGTGTAAAAGACGTGTCAAATCGTGTATTTACCGTGTAAAAATGGGACCAAACCGTGCAGTAATGATTGAGTGAGCGTACACGATTTTTACACGTTTTGGCGTGGCTTTACACGACTTTTGCCGTGTTTGATACCGTGTACCGTGGCCGATTTTTGCTTGTGGTTACACCATTGAATCAATCCCCAGCACAGCGGTTGGTGTATTGGCAGTGACTGTATTTGGACAACGCATTGGCACAAGTGCTGCAGCTCTCTGCACTTGCCGGAACTCCGTTCGCAAGGGAGCACCAGATGCAACAGCACATTCCGAGGCCCACCACAGCACTGGGCGTGCTGCGGCAGCAGAACCTGGCCCCCAGTGGCGTCAGGGGGGAGCGCCCTCAACTGAACTCCGAAGGGGCAGCCGGGGCCCCTCGACGTTGCTCGGGGCCAGCTCCTGGCAAGGTCGGAGGCCGCGGAGCGCGGAGCACCGCGTCCAGGAGCACGGGCCCGTCAGAGAGAGTCTGCACCTGAGTTTTGGTGCTCGCGGGGGTTGTGCTGTGGAACTCAGCCACCGTTAGTAACCGCCACGGGCCACCAGTCACCCTGAGGAGGCCATCCAGCCGAGGCGAGCAAGGAAATGTGTCCGAAAATCCACGACGATTGTTGCCCGGGACTCTGCGGCCACCCGCGCCCCCGCATCGCCAGATCGGACTCCGACGCCCACACGCTCCCTCCCCGCAACCACGTCACACATCTTCCCCCCAACCTCACTCTTACCCCGCCGCGCCCCGCCCCAGCGCGGCGTGCCGCGGTGCGGCGCACCACCGCCAGCTCCGACGCACGTAATGTACAAAAGCCCCTCGCGCAGTGTGTAAGGCGCCCTCCGCTTCAAATGCCGCCGCCCAGGCCTGCTCGCCAGCCGTGCAGCTGCCTCGGTGTGTGCAGCACCGCCCGGTCCGACTCTCCGCACTTCAGCAACAATTCGTGTGGGCTGGCCGTCCAGGGTGTGCGGACGCTCTGGACTGACTGGGATGCAGCCGGGCGGGGCCCGGCGCCGAGCTCATGTGTATCAATCCCAATGTCAAACCCGTCAACCTCGGCCCGTGCCTCTGCCTTTGGCGTCCGACCCAGCCCCCCCCCGCTGCTGTGGCCTGGCAGCGCCCCCCCTGCCCCTCCTTATGATGCGCAGGCCGAGGGCCGGCCGCGCGGCGTGAGCCATGGAGGAGGCGGGCGGCGCCCGCGGGGGCAGCATCCAGGACCTGCCCGCCGACTTCGTGGTGCGCGCGTTCCTGCTGATCGACGACGTGCGCGACGTGCTGTCGCTCCAGGCGACCTGCAAGCGGTTCTGCGCCCTGGGGCGTTCCAGGCTGGTCTGGCGGCCGCGCCTGGAGGCCGATCTGGGCATAAGGCTTGAGGTGGGTGCCCCAGGGGTGGACGATTGCTCCGAGTCGGGTGTTGGGGCGATTCGTCGGTCGCCTGGCCCACGGGCAGTTCGATATGCGCATCGGGCCTTCGGCGCGTGCCGTGGGGTTGGGGCCGGGGATGCGGAGCGGGGGCCGGGGAGGCGCGCATGGGACGCTCGCGCCTGGGCGCGATCGCGGCGCTGTTGGAGCGTTGTGGGGAGGGTGCTGGCGCTCCCGGCGCCAACGTCGGAGGGAAAAATGGGTAAGAGGGGCCATTTGCGGAAGCCGGCGGGCAGGGGGTGGGGTGGGGTGGGGGGAAAGAATGCATGCGGCGCTGGCGCGGAGTCCTGTGGTGCCTGGGCTGGCTGGGGCTGCTGTGGCTTGCTGTGCGCTGCGCGACGTCTTGGGGTTCTTGGAACGGGCGTTGCCGCGGTAGGCGGGGCCTGGCGTCGGTTAACCTGGCCGGCGTCGCGGCTGTCGGCCGGCCAGGGAGCGGTGGATGGACCTCAGGGATGACGGGCCGACGATCGGGGAAGCGGGCGGGCGCGGTGGCGCGTCGGTCGCGGGAGGGGCGGGAATGGTGGGCGGGCTGACGGCTGCGGCCGCGTGTATGTGTGTGGTGGGGGCGTGTTGGGCCAAGGAGAGGTGCTGCAGCGGGGATTGCTCGCCGGCGGCAATGCCAGCTGAGCTCTGGCGTCTGGAGTCGGAGCGAGTCTTCGCGCAGAGAGAACCCCCTTATTGCGGCCGGCCGACGAGCTGGGCGGCTTGCTGACGTTGTAAATGCCAGGGGCCATTGTGTGGGGCGCGCACAACACCCTGGCAGCGTAAGGCGGAAAGCCACCGCACGTATGGCCCACTTCGTGCGCATTTTGCTCTGTTGCCTGCCCCACGGCTTCGCAGCAAAGGAGGGCCTTGTATGCAAGGGGGGCTGTTCCTGGCTTGGCACAGCTCTGCCTGCAGCTTGGCTCTGAATAGACAATGCACATGGGTCATGTTGCGTTTTTGAGACCCAGCCTCCTTTTCTAGTTTTTGATTATTGTTTGGGGTAACGTTAAATAGCCACTAGTTTAGGCTGCTGTCCTTCAGCGGTCGTCTTGCAGAGGTCTGTGGGACGTTTCCTGACTAGGGTTGTGCACTGCCGACCACAGCAACGTCTGGAAGGCGACGAACTGTCTCTCCAGCGGTTGTACCGCAATGCAGCCACCGGAAGGACCGAGGTGGTCCGCTACTGGGGGGTCATGACAGATGGTGGCTGTGACAACGATTGGCTCCACTACTGGGTACGGCTCTGTCCTGTGCTTGTCTGGGGGGAATCTTGTGCCAGTGTCTGTGTAAATGCTAGGATCCCGATCAGCAGTTGGTTGTTTGTTTTGTGCAGTTCCCATCAGGTTTGCAGTTGTGTGGCGTGGCTGCCTCAGGGGCCCACGGGCTTGTGGGCTGCCCTGAAGTACCTAAGGCATTGCGTTTGCGCACAGGTGGACAACCTGTTTGTCCCAAACCACTGGGAGTCGTTCTGCAGTGCTGGAGGCGGCAATGTGCACTGCTTTGGTCTTTTGTTGGTGCGTCTCACCTCACCCTTGGGGTTTATGTCCCAGCGAATAGCGCTTGTAATGCATTTATCCTGGGACAGATGTCAGCACTTGTGGCTGTGGCTATCATTTGCCTTGTTGCCTTGCTGCATTCACAATCTTTGTTGGCAATGTGCTCGTGAGCGTCGTGTCCAGTCTGTGTAATCCTGCTAGCCTGGCACTATGAGGACTTCAAACAGGTGATTCTGTTGCACAGTGGCTTCTCAAACACCTACCAGTGTTCTGATCGTTGGTCCAGGTCTGCAGGTATTGTTGTGTTTGCTGATACAGTTGCCCTGCATTCTTGCAGTGTGAAGAGCTTGAACACGACAAGCGATCTGCAGCTGACAGAGAGTACATGATAAAGAAGTGTCGGTACCCAGCTGCCAGGCTCATTCTGTTGCACAGTGGCTTCTCAGACACCTACCAGTGTTCTGATCATTGGTCCAGGCCAGAAGATATTGGTGTGTTTGCTGATACAGTTGCCCTGCATGCTTGCAGTGTGAAGAGCTTGAACACGACAAGCGATCTGCAGCTGACAGAGAGTACATGATAAAGAAGTGTCGGTACCCAGCTGCCAGGCTCTTTAATGAGCACTTCAACAGGAGATCCATCGACAATGCATATTCCTTGCTGCAGTGCTGGTCCACCCCAGGTATGCCCAATGGCACAGCCTTGCGGCTTAGATGCAAGCTTCAGGGAAGAGTGGTAGCTTGTTGTTCATGGTCTCCAGTTCCAGGACATGCATCCTTTGTGGACATTTGTAAGCCTGCAGTTTCAAGTATGCACGCGGAAGTGTAGTGTGTACATGATTATGGGCGCCAGTGGAGTACCCTGAAGTTGCCGTACAAAACTGACGTCTGTTTGCTTTTCTGCAACAGAATTGGAGCATTTTGTCTTGGCACTTTACCATGACCTCCAGAATGGTGGACCACTTGGAAGATTGCTTGAGATGGGCCTCACAGGGCAGGAGCTGCAAAGAGAAAGGGTGGGTGGAAAAGAGGCTTGCACAGTTCTACCCATTATTCTTTTCTCAGTTGGCGCTTAGCTGGTATTCCATATGCAAGAAACACGGTTGCTCTGTGTGGCCATCAGCCCAAAGCCTTGGCATTTGGAATTGTGGGACATGTGCGGGCATGCCAATGTGTGGTGTTTGTTGGATTCAGGTGCGCATGCGTGAGCTGGTTCGACGGCTAGAGCACCAAGCCACAGTGAATGCAAGAGGCATCATCTCAAGGGAGGGCAAGCCCAGAAACGTGGGAAAAGGGAAGGCTGCGGGGAAGGGCAAGAATGCACTGGTGCTGTATGACAGCCTGTGCACAAATGTGCTTCAGCAAATGGACCGTCAAATAGTAGGTATGCATACGACACAGTGATTGAGGTCAGCTTTAGTGTTCGGATATCACAGCCTGTCATTTGTGTACTGCATGCTGGCTTTCTTTGTGTGCTTTCAAGCCACAGTGTGGTGTGCATCATGTTGATAATGTTTGCATGGTTGATACATGCCTTTGCTGCACATCAGTGCAGTGCTGAGCATTTTGTGGGTGCGCTGTTGGTGGGGCTTGTGTTGTGGACACCACTGGGTCACAGCACTGGTAACAAGACGGGCGACCATTGCTTCGTTTCAGGTGTCATTGACCGGCTCATGGTGTCAAGACGGGGTAGCTTCAGTTGTCCGGTGTCCTCAGGAGCTATCTTCATTGGCAACCTCACAAACTTGAGTCAGTTCAAGACGCACGACGATGTGATAGGTAGCCTGCAGGTGGGTATGTGTTTTGGGCTGACATAGCCCCCTAGCTGCAGAGGCATTTCTGATAGATGTGCAGAAGTGCACCTATCACTACACAAGTCAGTGCAGTGGTTTTCCACAACCTGGGTTGCCAGATCATGGCAGATAGTGGGCAAATTACCTGCAATTTTGGCTGCCATTTTTGAATGCACATCACCAGTCCTGCTGTACATCGAAAGGCACAGCACAGTGCTATGTTCGTCTGCCTTTGCCTTGCAGACTGTTGCTTGGTCTGGTTGTCTGGCTACAGGAGCACTCATCTTGGGTACTCCTCAAAATGCTGTTGACATTCATATCCGCGATTTGTATGTCAGCAAATGGCAGCCACGCCATACTGCGTCGCACTGGACAACATGGCAGACAGAGTATCCGTGACACTTGCATCTGAGGCGGGCAAGCTCCCACCGATCGTGGCCACTCATTCAAACCCAGCAGGGGAATGGATGGAGTTCGATGTCAGGACAAAGTCGCGCTGCAGATTACGACCACTGATTTGGTTCCATTTCTACACGAAGCAAGAGTCAGATGCTGTGCGAGCACAGCTGCAGCTACAAAAAGGGCCATTTGGGGAGCACTTGCTTTCAACAAGCACCAGTGAGGGGTCAGAGGAGGAAGTGTTGGCGGAGGACGTTGCCGAGGCCTTGTTCCACGGACCACAGCAAGGGGACTCGGCATTGAGAAAGACGACGGGAAGGGACAGGTGGGAAGATGGCATTGCACCAGGAGGGCTGGGCTGCAGATCATGCTGCGGTCTGGGAGCCCTGCAGATCAGGCTTGGCAGGGGACTGTGGCAACTGCCACAGACTGTGCTTGTACCTGTGTACTGACCCTGCCAGAAAGAAGACATATGTGCTGCGAAAACGCTAGTTGCCCAAGACACGGTGCACTCGAAAAAAGGATGTTGACACTGCTGTGTGCAGGGCTTCTGTGCACGCTGGCAAGCTGCTATGCATTGCGGCAATTTTTTAATGGGAATGCTGGCATGAACTGTTTGAAAGTGCTTTATTAAAGAGTACTTTGTAGTCAAGCAACGTTGCATGGACGTTGTGTTGGTTGATATGCATCTATCTGTCCTAGAGTGCCTGACCTTTTGCAGTGCCGGGGTCAACGGAATCAGGTATGTGTGCAAATGGAGCCCCACGTATGAATGCAAACCCTGACAAAGTGTCTTGCTTTCTCTGTGTGGAAGATCTGATGTGGAATGTCTGTGGCACCAGGCTTGACGTGTGGTTGAAGCAGCGGGTAGCTGCCAATGTTGTGTGCGTGAAGTTGATAAATCAAGAGGACCTGATGAGCCAGTGGGGTGACGATCATGAGGCGCCGAACATTGACATCAACTGCATAGCATTCAATGGACAGAGGGTTTTGCTGCCTCCCGGCATTCAGCTTGCCGGTGAATAATAAAGTGTTGCAGGAACCATCCAGGGGTGGATGTCAACAGCCACAAGAAATCCAACAAAGGCTGCATGCGTTGGAGGCTTTGGCCAAGGGCTCAAGCAACTCATCCTCGGGAGGGGGGCATGGCACGGGTCATTTTTCTTCACAGATTTTGGTGTCTATCTGTGGCATGTCCTTCATTTGGTGTGTATTGTGTGAGATAGCGGGGGGAGAGTTGTAGGATATGGTGTAGTGTGCAGGATGTCTGGGGTGACAATTTTCTTGTTTTTTAGGGCGAGCGGTTTGGCAACTTTTTGATTGCTTTGATTCCACGATGCCATGCCATCATTGTAATATTGTAGGCTATGCTTCGCCCAGTGCCCATTGAGCGAGGATTTGGCCAGTGGCGAGGTGGGCGATGCTGAAACCATTCGTCCTTTTGTATGCTTGGAATGTTTTGGAAAGAACAAAATAGCATTTTTGCACCCATTCAGGATATGAATGCGCGCGGGAGAGGCCAGGGCCTGGCGGTGGAGGCAAGGAGAGGGGAGGCCCGAATGCGGCAACAGGCAGTGGCCTGTGCTGGCCAAAAAGGTGCATGTCCCGCGTGCCTCGCCTGAACACCCAAACAGGATGGATGGGTGTGAAGTTGGATGACGGGGAGCGAACGAAACTCTATATATGACGCAAGAAGTGCTTGTAAAGTGCTCAAAGAATTCTTCTACTATGGCGCCCTCGTGTCAGTGCCATGCCTTATGGTCTCCGACACCTCCCTTTGAACTTGGCGTGGCTTGCCATGCATGGCTTTTGCGCTGTGATGCTGTGGGGATGCATGGGAGCGAGACGGGGTGTGGCCGTTGTGGCATTGGCGCTCTTGCTGAGTCGTGCCTCCAACAGCCTCAGCCTCGAATGCTGCAGTGTGATGCTGCTGAGTAGTCATCCCCGGACGAAGCTTGCGCTTCCGACTGTAGAAATTCTTTTGCAAGAAAACGTGGTCTGCTGGTGGAGCCTGCCAATTTGATTCCCGAATGCACAACCCTTGCTGGAGCGTTCCACAAGTTGCTGCTCGTGGGAGCAAATGTATAACGTCATGTCGACGCTTGGAGAGGCTTCCAACGCGCAGGGTTGTGTGTTTTCCCAAGTTGGTGTCCTCCGGCTTTAGCCCCTCGCCGCCCAGTGCGGCTGGTCATCGCTGTCATCTGACAATGCACGGGACGCTGCCCTGTCATGAGCGCCATCGGATCGTTCGATTGCCTCGTCAGCACGCTATTGCAGAGAACACTGTTTCTGGGAAGTATCTCACAAGGCTCAGTAGTCTATAGTACTTAGTTGGCCATTTCTTCCCTGAGACGGCGTTAGAGCGCTGTGACGAAACTCCGGAGTGGGCACGAGATTCATGCGGGCTCCAAAACGCACCAGAGGTGCTGACAGCTCAGCAGCCAAAGGACCCCCACCAGTGGAGCTACAAACAACAGCTTCTTGAATCCTTGATTGCGTAGCGGTCTGACATATGCCCCCCCGCCCCCTCCCCCCCTCTCTTGAACCCCAGCTTTCCGGAAGATCCCGCTGTTGTGACAGCTGCCAAACAACATCCCTAATTGATTTCTCGTATGCTGTAAAGAAACGGTCGTGTGCCCAACTGACGCGCACACGAGGACCCACGGTGCGCACCCTCCCATCCCTTGTCCAAAGAGTTGCGCATCCCGTCGATGCTTAACCTGCAGGGGTAGCGACGCCGTCCAGGCGTCCGTGCGATCTCAATCAGCCGCCTTCCCCTCCCCTTCTCCACAAAACCAATTGCGAACACGGCAGCTGCCCATCCCAACAGGCGCTCTCTCCCCCTGAAACGCACTCCTATCTTGCAGGAAACACACGCGGCTAGCCATCCGCCCCCCAGAGTCCCTCAGTCAATTGTGCACAACAAGCCCACGCCACGCAGAATCCACTTCGATTTGTCATCCTCCGTGCGCAGGGAGAACGTGGTGATGAAGTTAAGGCCCTTCCTCGCCTTTACACGGTACGTCGGAGCCTCGAACACCCCATGGCGCTTCTTGTCTTTCGAAAGCACGCCAGTCACAAACAGCACCGGCAGGGGGTGATACAATTTCTTGGGCTCTGAGTCCACCAGCCTGTTCTCTTTGCCGCTCCACGCGCAGCCGTCCAAGTACAGGCCGTATATGAACACGCCTTCGGCCGGGGACTCCTTGAGCGACTCGAACTCCTTGGGCGGGTGGGTCACTTCGCTGGTCATCACCACGTCATCCAGAGCCCACTTGTCGGCGGCGTGTTTCCTGTTCACCTCCTGCTTCATGGCCGTGAGGAAACCCTGGGGGTTGAAAAACCCGGTCATCCAGTAGGCCTTCGGACGGCCGAGGTTCAGCCACTTGCTGAGCTGGTCGTAGCGCTGCAGCAGGCCGCTGAACCAGTTGCCCAGCGTGGTGGCCTCCCAGGACTTCTTCACCCACATTCCGGGGATCCTGGCGTTGAACAAGCTGTCGAACGCCTCTATGAGGCTGCCCGACAGAGCGATGGTGCCGGCGATGGCGAGCCTCGTGTTCCTCAGCGTCGTGGTCGTGATTCTGGTGATGGTGTTCAGCCGGTCGATCTCCTGCCTCAGGTGGACCGTCAGGGGCTGGGTGGGTCCGCCGGGCAGCTTCTTGAGCTTCTCCTTGGTGTCCTCCTTGTCGAACACGGGCGGGACCTTGGACAGCAGGTCCTCGCATATCTTGTCCACCACCTCCTCTCGAGACAGGCCTCCAGACCCGCCACCGCCCTTCGGCATGGTGTCCAAGATCGTGGCGACGGCGTCCTGGACCTGGAGGGACCGGAAAGTGAGGTCGGCGTTGGGGTGCAGGCCGAAGATCTCCGGGCTCTCCTGCCCCGGAAACTGCTCGATCTCGTGCCTGAAGGTTTCAATTTCCGTGCCGGTGGGCACGCGGTAGCTGAAGCCCGACCTGTCGTCCTTGTACAGCTCGTAGGACTCCGCGAGGGAGCCCGGGTGGAAGTACTTCTCCGCGTAAGTGTTCATCAGGATCTCGTCGAAGTCGTCGGTGATCCTGCCGCCGTACTGGATGACAGATATCATGTAGCGCACGGTCTCCCACGTGGGCTGGGACGCCTTCTTGGCGTCCATCTCCATCAGGTGGTTCTGCAAGAAGTGCGTGCACGCCGACAGGTCCGACTGGTTGAACTCGTACGGCACGTTCCAGCCGATGGGCCCGAACTTGCGGCGCTCCTGCACTATGGAGTGCAGGAAGCACATGACGAACAGGATCTGGCGCCACTCCGCCCGGCTGACGACGTCCAGCATGTCCTGCGTCACCCACTGGTACGAGGACCTCAGGCCAGCCTTCATGCCCACCGGCGCCTCGTTGGTGATCTTGATGCCCATCTGCAGCAGGCCGATGGGGAACTGGGGGTGCGGCTCGGCGGTGATCCACAGCCTGAAGTCGTCGTGCAGCTCGTCGGCTTTGAGGAGGAACTGCTCCACCTCCGTGAGATAGCCCAGGCCCAGGTGTGTGTTCTGCAGCAGCACCCACTGCCCCTCCACGGTGGCCGTCGCCATGTACTTCCTGGCGATGATCTCCTGGCCCTGGCCCATGGACACGCCCAGCGTCTTGATCTTCTTCTTCTTGGCCAGGTCCTCGATGAGCTTGGTGGGGTCGGCGCCGGGAGACAGCAGGCATATGAGGGGGCAGCGGTTGTGGCTCTCGCCCCAAGCCCTCTCCATGTTCAGAGGCACCGACTCCACGAACTTCTGTCCCAGGGCGTCCGCGATGTAGTCCGCCGCCGCGATGAGCGTTCGGTCCTCCCGGAAGGCCTTCACCACGCACATGCGCTCGAACGTGCTCAGGCGCTCTTCGTAGTCCGGCACCTTGGCCATCTCAGGGGCCTCCTGGTCGTACCACTGCCGCCACAGACCGTCGTTCCTGAATACCGAGTCGGGAATGTCCCGGAACGCATCCATGTTGGACAGGGCCACGATGCTGAGCCAGACGCTGTCCGGGATCCACTCCTTGGGCTTCTTTCTGACTGAATTGATGTCCAGCGCGCCTCCGCCCTTCAGGAATATGTCGACGTCGGTGGCCTTTATGCTGCCCGCCGAGGACAGGATTTTGTTGGTGGCCATGAGGGCGAAGAGCATCTTGTGCCGCTCGAAGAGGCCCCGCTGGATGTACAGGTAGATCTCGTAAGTCATGTACTCTATGATGTTCTGGATGCGCTTGCTGGGCATGGTGGCCTTCTCCGAGTTGTCGATTGTCAGCTCGTACAGTTCGTTGAACTGCGTCAGCGATGTCTGGTACATGCAATTCACCACGCTGAATTCGGCGATGATGAAGTACACCAACGTCGCCCTGTGGGCGACGGGCCTGTACTCCTCGCACGCCTCGTTGATCTTCTTGTTCGTTTCGTTGGCGTTGTTGAGCTTCTCCGCAACCTCCTGCGCGGTCTGCTTAGTCACGGCCAAGACGTCGATTAGCTCAGTGTCATCCAGGAGGTTGCCCTGGGAGTTGGACAGCCGAAAGAGCAGGTCCTCCTCGAGTTGCCTGATCTTCTTCTTGTAGCTCTGAACCTCTTCCATGAGCTGCTGCCTCTGCTCCTCTAACTCGTGCTTCTCCTTCAATATGAGCTTTCCGAGCAGCTGGTCTTCCAGCCCCACCATTGTGACGGTGAAATCCACCACGGTGACCTTCGCGGACAGCTCCGGAGAGAAGTGCGGATTGGGCAGCCTGGTGGTGAAGTACAGCTTGAAGCTCTCGGTGTAGTCCACCTCCTTGTCCGCAAGCTGCACCACCATATTCTTGCCCTTCCTCACAAAGCGGCGCTCCAGGACGGGGTCAAGGACCGGGTCCAGCTCCTCCTCAATATTCTCCATCAGCAGCGGTTTCCCAAACGCCAGGCAGTCCTCCAGGTGGTTCCTGAACATCTTGTCGTTGAGCTGCGTGACCTTGAGCTGGTTGGCCTCCTCCCTGTTCATTATCCAAAGCTTGCCCTGGCCCTGAGGGTCCACGAGCACAGGGTAGCGGGACGCCCGCGTGACCATGATGCCGTTTTGCACGGACAGCTCGTCCGTGGGTAGACCCTGCAGAGTCCACTCGCCGACCTCCGAGTCGTCTACCAAAAATTTGGACACCTCTATGTCCTGTGTGACGGAAATATTGAGTCTGATGCAGTCCCCGTAGAAGTCTCTCGTCATGAGCAGTTCTCGGAACTCTTTGTTGAAGGGCCCCAAGTACGACACGAAAGCCGACGCAATGGCACAGTCCCCTGTGAGGCGCTGTATTTGTGTGTCGAACTCCTTGGACTGCTGGGTCCAGCGGGTTTCCTCGCCTGCACCAAGGAGAATTGCGATTCAAGCTCACCGCATTAAGGCATTGCCGTGCTCATGTGGCATTCGCTCACAAGGCAATGAGGCATTTCACGTGTCTGAGTTGGGCGCAATGCGCCATTGGTAACGGTGGATGGGGCGTTTCTTCCCTGACACATGTTGATAGCCACGTCGTTTGATTTGGACCTGGGTATCGGCAGGGCATTGTGCTGTCTTGACACCAATGAATTGTACAGCAGGGTGAGGAACGGAATTTTTGATGACAGTTCGACACCGCAAGCTAATGATTTTAAGCTTTCAGTACATGCAGTTAACTGTTTGATGTGGAGCGCATGAATTTGGTCCCCGCTGCAGCATGTTCAATGATTTCTCGGCGTTTTCTGTGCCATGCATGCGCCCATTTTCAGGAGTTAAGTCTAGATACCGTCTACACATTTTTGTGTATCTTAAGTCTCTTAATTAGATCTAGATTTAAGTCTTTGATCACATCGCCGAGTGCGTCAACAAGCCTCCCCTGCCAGCTGCAAACGATTCCGATCTGAGAACTCAGAAATTCAGGAAATCTATAAACGCTCTTGATTCTGTATTCAAGTGTCTCCCCAATGGCGCCAAAGACAATGGGAAGACATGCACCTCATTTATATGTAGAATAAACCCCTTCATATATCGGCAAAAGGCATTTCACAAAAACAGATGGACAATTGAAGGCTTGAGCTTTGGCAAACGGCCCTGTTTGAATTTGTTCACAACTGGGTGCGTGGCGTCTGCTGCACAGTGGTCGCATTGCATCACCTGCAAGTGCAGTGATGAGAGCATTTGCAGAGTCCATTTTTTTCTGGGTAGCTGCCGCGTCGTCCTCCAATGCCTGCTTCTGAGCCATAGCCGCGTCGAACTGCGCCTGCATCTCGTCCAGTTTCGATTGCACCTTTGCCATGCGTTCCTCAGCGGCATTCTTTTCCTTGGTGGCTATCTTCAACTCAGTCTCCGCCTCCCTGAGGGCGACGATTTTGGGCTCCACGACTTTTGCAACGTTGTGGTACGTGCACATGGACTCTGCCCAGTTGCAAAGCCCGGCAACGTTGCCGCTGGCCTTTTTCGCGGCCTCGAAATTAAAGTCTGGGGCGTTGAAGTACGGCTGGAGGAGTTCCACCGTCTCGTCGTTGATCTGCTCCTTGGGAAAGTTGACCAACGCCCCCAGGAAATTCATGTCCCCCATCATTTTCACCGCCTCCGTGTACGTGCCGATGACGACCATGCACCCCTTCACATCGTGGTATTGAAGCTTGTCCACCAGAGCGTACCGCAGGATCAACACGCAATCAAAAATCCTCTTCACAATGTCGGGCGGATTCTTGAGCGCCTTCAGGGACGTGATGTCTTTCGGTGATATGGAATTCAGAGCAGCCAACGCGGAGTCCAGCGCGGGCTTCGCGGCGGCCAAGTCCTTTTGAGCGTCGTCCTTGACGGCCGAAATCTCCGTGGCCTTTTTGCTGACCTGGTTCACAATCACCGCCACCTTGGCCTTCTCCTTCTCGGCAATCGCCGTGTTCTCAGAAATTGACTTCAGGAGCGCCTCCGCTTCCTTCGCAGCCACCGCTAGCTCCTGATTCTTTATGGCGAGGTCGGCCTTCATCTTGTTCACATCTTGTTTGGCTTCGAGCATTTTCTGCAGACCGTTGTTAATGTTCGTGGCCAGCTGCTTGACGTCCACCCACTTCCTGGAGTACAGGGCCTTGTAGCCCTGAAGAAACGATAGGTACGACTTCGGCGTGACGTAAACGTGCCTCCTGAATTTCTCAAAGTACTCGAGGCAGGCGTTTGTCACAAAGACGTGTACGTTGCCCATCATCAGCTTGAGCTGGTCCTTCACTTCGGGCGGGCACGCCATCTCAAACTCGTTGATGAACTTCCCCGACACCGAGGTCAGGGCGTCCTCGGGCCACGGCAGGAACCAGTCGATCGTGCAGCCGTTGATGAGCCCCGGGAATTGCATCGCCCTCCTGCTGAACTTGTCTCCCACGGGAGAGAAGCATAGGGCCACGTGGAGGTTGTCCCGTACCCTCCCCAGGAAAAAATTGTAGAGGTTCTCCCAGGTGTCGGGCGTTCCCGGCGACGCCTGTTTCATGACGGGGCGGATGTCGTTGACGATCATGTCCAGCTCGTCCTTGGGCAGGAGCCCGGCCACCTCGCCGGTCATGAGGATCTGGTTGATGTACTCCAGGAAGCCCTCCTCCTTCACCTCCGCGTCTGTGAACAGGAAGCACACGGGCAGGCCCTTAAAGCCAGCAATCTTGTACAGGGCCTTGATATCCTCGAACAGGTTGGTCACGTTGTAGGTCTTTGTGATGGTGATCTGGAACGTGTAGGCGCCGGATATGTAGGCCGCCAGGCGGGCGAGCGACTGCTTGCCAGAGCCCCCGACGCCGACGAGCAGGGCGGACCCGCGGTCCATGCAGAACAGGCGGGATATTCTCATCAGGTGCATCAAAGCGTCGGTGAACAGCACGAGGTCCAGCTTCAGGACCTTGCTCTCCTCGTTGAACTTTTTCTGAAGGCTCTCCACTCGCTCCTTCACTTCTGGGAGGCCTCCAGGCACGGCCTCGTAGAAGCTGGGGTGGGCGTCAATGGCCTCGCCCGTCTCCTCGTCGAATATGGGCTCCCTCAGAAAATCGACGAAGTACAGCGGATCCTCGACCTTTGCCAAGTAGGACCCTTCCAGTCAGGCTACCAGCAGCAACCTCGAGAACTGGAAAACCTTTTGTGGACTGGAAAAAGTCGGTGACGCTCATCAGCATCAGGTGCGAATAGCAGCCTGATATTCAGATTCTGCAACAAATAGTTGCGCAAGCCGCCTTCGCGAGAGCTCACATGAATACCACAATGTTACGTCAATCCATTATTACATGAAGTACTGAGGACAAAATAGCCGCAAGACAGTAAAGAAAGCCCTCTGTGACCTTACTCTGCGGTCTATTTGAGATTTCCATCAGTTTAGTGCTACTGAAGCAAAAGCAACAGAATCCAGCCATTCAGTGTCTGAGTAGTAGCCGCTTGCGCCGAATAACAGGGCTATTCAGCGAACAGTGTTCACCTGTTTATTGACGTCGACGGACAGGTTTTCCTTGCAGAGATCCTTGATGGCCTCTCCCACCCATGCTTTATCCTCGTTCGACACTAGTTTGTCGCAGAAGACTCGCTGACATTCGTGCATCCACAAAGCGAGTAGGTAGCCCTCTGGGCTGGTGACTTGCCCGCCGAATGGTGGCAACGGGTCGCCAAGAGCAGAATCTTTCATGAACCTAAATAGGATTTTGTGTTATGTTAGGAATCCTTACCACATAAGTTTTGGGCCGTCCCTTTGAAAGGAAGTATCTGGGTGTACAGAAGGGGTAGTTGTAAAACTCTGGCCGCCGTGAACTCTCATGAAAAGATATTTGCAATAACTTTACGATATGTACGGATGTGTAGATACATATATGTGTGCGGATCTGTAAGTGACCAATATCGAATGTCTTACGAGTCGTGGACAATGCGAGACATGCGTTGCACGCACGCGTGTATGGTTCACTGAACCAAAAGAACTATAATTGTGGTGGAGCTGCTGAAGCTATTTCTTCGGAACCGCCGATCGCCAAACCCTTACCCTAGGCATATGCATTCTTGGCCTATATTACTGGTTTTACGCGAAAGCGAAGCATCGTTACCAAAGCTTAGAAAAATGAGTGTCTTAGTTCCTGCTGCTATACAACATCTTTGCGTTACTCGAATATTTATGGTCAATGTTTGTCTTGCATGAAAGCCGATAACATTAGTGTGCAGCGCGAAGTTTTGTGCATCATCGAAAATACAGTCAGGTTTGGTGTGCCATGGCGTGGGAGCATAGCGGTCACAGCAAATAGGGATCCACAAACTTGTTCATTGCGGTTCCGGTCACTGGGAATTCCACTGACATTGATAGAATTTAGAAGTTGGCGATTCATAGATGAGTCCGATATCGGGGTGGCGTAGAGAAATTCTGTTACTAAGCGCTTCACCAATTAGCTAATAAGACATCTCTCCGTCACGTTTGATGATAGCGCAGGTGCGCAGAGCGCAAATTCCAATCGCTGTGACGAATGGATTCGAAATTGCGTAGCTCACCTGTCCCTTGATGCCAGAATGACGCCTTGAAAGACCTTAGAAAGCTCGCGCATGTTGAAAAGATAGTGGAACTTAGCGGGAGTTGGCAGCATCTTGGTCTGGACTTTGTTCCACAGAGTCACTGTCATGGGCACCAACTTTTGCGCCACCTGGATGACGTCATCAGTGAAGGCGCTGGGGTCAAACCGCCCCTCGACCAGTGTCCCAAATATGTTGTTGATCGCGGCGACAGATGGCAGGGGCACGTTAAATATGACGAAGCGGCGCTTCAGCCGGTTTGGAATGTCGTTTTTCCCACCGCCTGGCTGGTTCATGGCCGCCACGAATCTTGTGTCCACCAGAAACTTCATGTCGCCAATGGGCTTCTCAAGGCTGTACATGCCGTGCTGCTCTAGGAGCTGCCTCACGATTTCGTTGGTTACCTGGTCCCCCCACTCATTGATGTACGGCATGGAAATGTCGTCGATGAAGACGCACATGGACTTGCCTCCCGGTGGCCCATATGTCCTGCCTTGGCGCTTCTCAACGGCGCCCTCAATGGACATCTGGAAAATCTGTGGCGTGGTGAGGGAGGAGAACGTTATCGTCTTTGAGCTCGTCTCTTCTGGGCTAAACTTGGACATGAATTGATTTATGGTGCTCGTCTTGGCGGTTCCGGGACCTCCCACCAGCAGCGTCGCGGAGTCCACGTTGTAGGACAATTGCAGCAGCTTCTCGTACCGAACCGAATCCAATGTTGGGATGACCAACTGAGCGAACTTGGGCTTCTCTACCCCTTTCGGGTACTCCCAAACAGGGACGCACTCTCTCCAGTGTTGCCATTCTGTCATGGCGTCGTCCACTTTGTACTCGTATATCAGAGACTCCTCGTCCATTTCCGGGAGATTGGACCCAATGGACGCCACTTCCTGGCTGAACTGAGGACGGTCCTTGTTGTCCAGAAGGCCGCCAAGCGACCAGACCAGGCAGAACAAAAACACCTTCTCGTACTTGTCGGGGGAGAGGATCTCGTTGGTGTTCACGCAGTGCTGCAGCATGCTGTCCAGGAGGGTGGTCAGCGTGCTCACTTGGCACACCTCCTCGTTGAACAGCACGTTCTTCAGGTTCAGTCTCACGAAGTCGAGCATGTGATCCACGTACTTATCGAACAGAGGCTGCAGAATGGCAGACTCCTGATCCCGGCGCCTCTGCAGCCACGATTTCACGACGGGCTTCCACCCCAGCTCACAGTCCGACACATATATGATTCCCGCCCTCGACACGGTTGCCGGCGACGCGTTGTTCAAGTTCTCCGGCTCAAACATTGCCTTCATGGAAGGCGTCATCAATATTCGGTCACCGTTGGCAAGGGTCAGGACTTTGTTGTCGTCCAGCACCGTGTTGAGATTCTCGATCCAAATGGCGTCCACCGGCCCGTCCAGAATAATCAGCGTGTTCTGGTTTTTGGCCTTGGCCGCTCTGCGCCACAGGACCGCGAAAATCCCGTCCGTCCAGTCGCCTGTCGTTGCGTCCATTCTTCCAAACATCTGCGGCGCGGTGATGGCCTTCGGGTTCATCCGCCAGATGACGTGCTTTTGGCCAAGCTCGGTGAGGGCGCCCGCCAGGCACTCCACAATGGAGCTCTTGCCCGCGCCCGCGGGTCCCACGAGCATGATTCCGTGGCGCACGAGATACGTCTCGTACAGCTGTATGCACTTGTTCATCCACGTGGGGTGCTGCTGGAGACCCTTGCTGTCGACGATGTTCCTCAGGGCGCCCTCGATCTCCGGAAATTGAGCTCTGTCGGCTTTCAGGCCTGAGGAAGAGAACGGAACTTGGTCGTCAATAGAGTTTTTGGTTTAAGCAGTAATTGTTGTTCGAATGGAGGGAGAACCAGTACCGGGGAATAGCAGTCAAGTAGTCGGTGAAGTTGAAGGACGTGCAGCTCTTTGAGCCATAAGTGTATTTTCTCGAAGCTTCCGTGTCTGATAAAATGTTGTAGGAAATGCATGTGCTGGGAACAACTGGACTGGAACACAATATGTCTAAGCATGTGCCAAGTCTGCACAACAAAGTGGGCTCAAAGCCCAACGCATTTTTGTTGAAAGGCGCCGCAACAGTTTCGAATGATCCACGCCTTCTCATTCGAGCAGGCATCGCATCATTGAATTTGATTTCATGCACGCAGTCACCTTTGTCAACGGCGCAAAAAAATTAATTCGGGGGAGGCTTAAAAAAGCACCTGGGAAGAGGTCGTCGATAAGCGACAGGAACAATGGGACATCCTCCGCAACGAACTTGGACATGTTCATGTCCCTCAGCGTCCTCATCATGAGAAACACTTCCGAATTTCCAGGGCAGGCTCGCTTCGACGCCCCGGCCGTTCGCAACACCGACAGAATGTTGCGCAAGCCGAAGTCGTAATGCGCTTGCTTGGACAGCTGCTGCTCGCAGAGACCGTACAGCACGAAAAACTTCTTGGAGAGGGCGTCGTTTTCTTGATACCCGCAGGCAGCGAGTTTCACCTTCATGATGATCTGCCGATTAGGGACCTGAAGGTGCGAGGGCGCAAGCTGCATTAGTGCCCTGGGGCCCTCCGGGACCAGAAGGACGCCCTTGGTTGTCAAGGGGATGACGAAAGAACGCCTCTGAGGGTCATCAGTGGCGGTGCGCGCGCCAACTGGCGAGCTCAAAAAGCATGCTGCGAATAACAAAGTCTACTGAACTTTAAAGAACGTGGAATTAGCAAAACGGTTCAATGTGTCAGGAACAAATTATGCGAACGCGCCGATGGCGCACGCGCGTCTTCAAATGTTTCGCAAACGTGCTACGCTACTGGCGGCTGCAAATTTGAGCGCTAAGTGCTTCCAGTGGTTACCATCATGGTGACGCCTCGGAACAACGCCTTCAGGTTCTCGGGCAGCTCCTGCCTCCCGGCGTAGCCGGGATTCATGGTGATGAAGAATCCCACCCGCGGGTCCAGGGACACTGTGGTGCCGTCAGTGAACAGGAACGTCTTTTTTCTCTCCCTGATGGCTGACAGCACGCAGTACACCTGCTGAGCGCACACGCTGAGCACATCCAGGTTGATTCGGTTGAACTCGTCGAAGCATCCCCAGAGACCGGACTGGGCCAGTCCCTTGTAAATCTTTCCCATGCCCTTGTAATCCATCTGGTCTGAACAGTTGAACACGACGACGTATTTGCCCAGAGTGTTGCCCAGATCTTTGGTGGTTTCGGTCTTTCCGGTTCCGGCTGGACCAGCGGGGGCGCCGCCAAGGAACATCCCCAACGCCTGCAAGACATGACAATTTCGGAAATGAGTGCGTTTTCAATAATCGAATTGATGAATTGATATGCAATGGCACTATTTCCTCCATTCAAATAAAGTGATTTAAAAATCCAACTAAGAGTGGTAGGAAGGATACACCGTGTAAAATTCTCTTGGAGGGGATTGCCTTCGTAGAGTGCGCAATGCCGGATGTCTCAAGTCTGAGATTCTTTCAGGAACGCCTCGGCGCTGCAGCGCCCGAGGGAGATGTCAGTATCGTCAATGGGCCTCTAGATAGGATGGACAATTAGGAACATGCTTTTCATGCAAGGAACTATTCGTGATGTGTTCTGGCAGGAGATGCATATCGGTATCATCGTCAAACTACGGAGAAATGCGGTGCCACCCAGCCAGAGAATATCGACGCCATCGCTGACGCGCTCACACCCTACCTGAGACAGGGTAATGTAGCAAATGTCGGTGAGAGGAGTGATGACCAGTCGCTCCTTGACCCCCAGGTACTCAAATGAATATTCGAAGTCCACGTCGCATATGGAGATTATGACGGTGTCCTTGTCCTCCCGCCAGTAGAACCGACACTGCTTCAGCCACTCGAAGTCCGTGGGATCTTTCACCTTCTTCTTGACGAGGTCCTCCGTGGACTCTTTCTGATGCATGTGGACGGTCACGCAGGTCTCCAGGTTGGTCCTTTGAATTTTCGTCAGGTCGGTCTTCACCGTGATGTTCACCATGTCGCGCAAGATGGCGTCCGTCTTCTTCATGTTCTTGTTCATTATCGTCTTGTCCGATTTGGCCCTGGCCAGGGCGTCCTGCGTGTCTGCGGTCCATTGAAACTGGATCCCCAGGAGGGAGATCTGAGCAGGGTGGCTGAATATGAAGTCTTCCAGTTCCATTTCCTGTTGCACCAGCAACCATGTGTTGAGAGAGCCTGGATCGCCTCGCACCCAGAACTAGATAGAAAAGCGTTGCACGTGTGCATTACGTGACACTTACATGCGCCCCATAGTGAGAAATCCTGGAATTTACGTGGCTGCCGGCATCGAGTATGCATATCATTCATCCTCGCAAGATGTATGCACGCAAAGCATCAATGCAAATCAGTACGCAGGAAGTTTTCACCGGATCTGGTTCCATTCCCTTGGGTTTTCCGCAATCCGACACTACACTGGCTCTAGCTTGCCGGCGGCACTGTGGGCTGACAGGCCGTGCTCTTGAAAAGGCGCTATGGGTTTTAGAATGTACATGCAATGGAGACTATTTTAGGACATGGACTGTTTGGCGCAAGGACTCATGCTGTGCCATGTGACGAATGTAATCCAAACGGGGGTTACACACATTTCGCCATTTCAGGAAGCGCAGAAATGTCTCCAGTGTCAAAAAGTTGCGGGACGTATGCTAGCGATGCCAGTTTGAGCTCACCGCAATCAAAGGAGCATTATTGCACATAGAAAACCGCAAGCATTATGCACGAAATGTTGTACCTGAAGTATTTGGATTCAAATATTATTGTAATGTTCAAGTCCTCAGCGCGATGAATTACTTCCAGACCTTGAAATATACTCTCAAGATGTTGGATCGGCATTCTGATCAGCTTTTGGAAAGTGCGCTATCAGGACGGCCCGGCTGCATGCATCTTAATTGGGACTCCCAGACCCAATCAGCAGTAGGCCCCGGCAGAGAGCGCCAAATGCCGACGGCTTGCCTGAACATTCTTGTACGCCCTCTTGGTGATGCACTTCACCGTTTCCTGCATGCCGTCAACCAGCCTCTGCAGCCACACCTCGATGTTGCCCTTCGCCTCCACCGCGTGCTCGAACTCCACGCATTCCCCTTGCTGGGAAAACATCTCCAGCATCTTGCTTTTGTCCACTGAATCGAAGGTCACGTTCGTGAGGGAGTCAAAAAGCCCGGACTGGAAGTGAGGCACCACGGAAGGCGGGTCGGACCCCAGAGACAGGATTTCCAACAGGGTGGGATCGGAGACAAAGTAGAAGCGCGGAAATTCCGCCCTTTTGGTTTCCAGGTAGGCGGAGAGGGACTTCTGGCACAGTTCCAGCTGCTCCAGCAGGTGGGGCAGCATGCTCTTCATGAGCTCGTTCCCGTAGCATGTCTTGACCACATTCATCGTCTCCAGAGCGCTGGTGACAATCTGCAAGGGCGGTCAAAGGTGCACAATTACAGAAGGCAACGAAAACTCCAGTGGAATGAGTAAAGGAATGGAGGAAAGACATCGCAGAAACATGGCCGCGTTGGAGCGTCAAAAGTTGCAATCCAACTTCAAAATTTCCTGGATGCTGAACAGAGCACGCAGTAGTTTATGCGACTTGCTTCGTCCACTGATTTGTAGTGCAGCCTTTGCCAATATGATTCGCCTCCTCTCACGGGCTGCGCCACATATCATACCTTCATGTAGTTCTTGTCGATGTTCTGAAACCTCTTTGCTTCCTGGGGGAGCTGCTTCACAATGTCTCCTCCCGAGAACACCGCCTCCATGTACATCCACATGCTTTGGACCATCAGCCACTGCTCTACTATCTCAGAGACCGTCGACAGTTTCACAATCCACTCATGGACTTCTTCCCTGAATGGGGCGCTGTACCTGCGAATACGCAGTGCAAAAGCGATCACCGTGGTACCAGGTGTTCTGCAATATTTACACCAACGTCGATTATTCAGGCATTTCCAAGAAAGCTTCCACACGCAATTCTTGGATGCAAGAGCTCAGCGGCAATGCCAATGTGAAGCAAATTCATTGCACCAGTATTACATGCGAGATGCTATGAATCTTGCCAGATGAATTTGCCTTCCCCTCATGCTCCGCAGCGGTTCGCACCTGCAGAGGTCTCATTGGATGAAACGGCATTCGATTCCCACCTACGCACAGTGTACGCTAATGTATTGCCAAGCTCATTTTGCCTCCAGCAGGCCACCCAACAGCGCTGTGGGGGTTAATTTTATGGGTCTCAATTAAATCACATTAATCAACTTGACATGATGTTTGATGAGTGCGATGGACACGACTTGGGCCACCGCGATTCGAATCAACTTGACACGGCGCGATACGGTCACGTGCCTGTTTGTGGCCATGGAACCCAGCGTCATCTGAGAATCCTCCAGCTTCTCGACAAGCTCCGCTGTGTCCGAGCCCTTGAGAATGACGGGCCCCCGCGTCTTGTACTCGGCGAAGGAAAGGTTCAAGTCCTCCCATTCGCCGTCCACCACCTTAAGCTTAACTTCTATCTGCTCCTCCTTCACAGCGGCGCTCGCCAGCTCCTCAACGTCGTCCCTAAAATCGAGGATGTTGCAGTCCAGTATGTGCTGCAGCTTGAAAACGTCCTCGGCGAGGTTCAGCTCCTTGCCTGGAGTGCGCAATACGAATTTCACGTTCCACTGAAACAAAAGCAAAATTGTCTATCTGATTTGGTGCGCGAAACCGAGTTTGATTGATAGCTGTTGTAGGTGCTCCGTGGAATCTGGATACGCCACTTCCTTGCCAAAGTGGTTAGGGCATTGCTTTCGGCATGCCGATCACAAAAGCATTCCACGTATGAATACACATGCTGGATTATGGCATCAGTAAAAGGGCATGTCAGATTTCTGAAACTCGCCAATCCTGGCCTGAATATTCCAGCACTTGCACGAATTGATAGACATTGGCGCAATGGTGCGCATTTCAGCAAAAGCGATGGACTGAACGCCAGAATTCTTGAAATAAATTCAACAGTATTCACCTCAGAAAGAAGTGAGGGCTCCCTGCGCAACGTGTCATGCTTGAAAAAATGTGGATTAGTTTAGTCGATATTGTCAATTCTGCGCGAGTCACACTCACGAGGGCGCTGGAGGGCTTCCTGCACGAGCAAATAAGCAATATTGCGGCTGGGTAACGAGAGGTTTTGTACCTTACCGAAGGCTTACCTGTGATTTTCATGATGTCCGTCCAGTGGCGCTCCCTCATCGACTTGTGCGCCAGCGACTGGAAAAGGGGCAACATTTCCAGGAAGTCGTCTATGGTCTTCCTGCAGTCTTTGTACGCCTGCCACTCCCGAAGCGCCTTTGGAAGCTTCTTGGCCTGGGCCTGGTATCCGTTAACCTGCACGGCAAGAAAAGTACTGCAATGAAGCCGGCCTCCTTTCTCGACCGCAATCACACCTACGCATAGCCTCATTGTCTAATCCGTTCATTGGAAAGTTCTTTCTATTGCGCGAAATTTCAAGCAATCAAATACCTAGGCCGATGGCCCTTGAATGCGAGGTCTTACCAGTTGCGAAAAATGATCCGCCTAAACTTTCGTTTGGATGCGAGGGCGCACGCGACAATGTGCGCGATAAAGCAGCACGCGCACAGAAATGTTCAGTTCCTTTGTAAGCAGATGCCCAGATCGGCTTGAAAATGCACAGGGCTTAAACTTGGACCAATTATGGAACTTTTATATTGGAAAAGGCTGCAGTAAAGTTTTTCACAAAATTGTGATGCAACATCGAAAATCACGTATGAACGATGCCGGACTCAAGGAAATCCGCTCCACGGAGATGTACACCGGCGCCCACCTGCTCCGCCCAGACGTCGATCTGCTCCACCACATCCACCCAGAAGAAGTCGCCGTACCCCTTGATGGTGCTGATGACGTTGACGTACAGGCTGTACAGCCTGTCCAGCATCTGGATCTCCTTCTCGGTCGTCTCCAGCTCGGGGTACTGCGTCACGCTCAGGCCAAAGAGCTCCTCGCCGCTGGAGTAGTTCTCCCACTTGCGCTTGCGCACCTCGAACATCTGCTGGAACTTCTTGAGCCTGTCCACGGCATCCATGGGGTCCAGGCCCGCCACCATGGGGCCGTTCTCCTCCCAGTCGCTCCTAAAGTTGGCCGCGTCCACCACGAACGCCTTGACCTCCTTGATCAGCTCGCGCTTGAAGCCGACCTGCGGGATTCAGTGCGGCAGCCGCATTTGCGTCGCATGTCGAAATTGTGTGCGGGTGTTTTTTCTTTTCGATTGCAAAACACCGCATCTCATTTGAGCGTCCAGGCGCCTCTCCCGTCCTATCACCAGATATGTGGGCCTTGCGCCACCGAGAAAAAGCGTGCAAGGAGATGCAAAGCCCCAAATTGTTCGAATCCAAAAGAACGATCAGTCTCAAGAAAGAGAAAAGAGGAGTTCGATACTCCGGGAGTGTCCTGGAAGAACAGCAATCAGAGACAGTTGCATATCTCTCTATGTTTGTTCTAATGTACCGAGATGGAAAATGTTGTTTTTAATAATTTTAAACAATATATTTATCATTAAAATGTGGTTTTCAAATGTTGGTTTTAATTACGTTTGTTGTTGTCAATTACAGTGAAACCGACAACTGAATATCATGTCACCAGCGCATGCAAACAACGCGATAATGTGTATGGATGTACGTCGGGCGACGCGGATGAGCAACGCTTCGCGGAACGTCGAGAAAATCTAGCCGCTTTTGTGTTGTTCGCGCGAGATTTGAGACACCGCGAACAACCAGCAGGCTCGGGTTCGTGGCAACTATTGATAAATCACAGCAGGGCTAGTCAAACCTACATTTATTGAACCACTGCCATGCCGTTTTTAAATTTCCTTTATATGTGCCGTTTTGCTTATAAGCATAGTTTGCGCTCTAGAGACTATGCTGCTTAAATGTATCCGAAGGTGGAGCTCATGGTGCTTTGCACGTATGCGTGCACTATTCCCGGCATACCGTCATGCCCTAGAGCGGAGAAATTGCCGTACTTTATGAAATGACGTGCAAGATCGACGCCTGACGTGCGGCAGCAAGATCTCTGGGAAAACAGGCATCTACACCGCTTCTGGGATTTGTTTCATTTTGCCGCTGATGGAATGCAATATGGGCAATTGATGAATTAGTGAAATCACAAAAATGTCGTGCAAATGGCAATTATTTGTCTGTCGCACACCTGCAGCCTCGCCAACGAGTCGGAGACGTCGGTGGCCAGCTTTCTGAGCTTTTTCCAGCTGTACCGTAGGTCTCCAACCATGTCGGTTTCCTCCTTGGGCACTCGCACCTCGTACCTCAGGAGCAGGGCATACATCTCCTCTATGGGGTTTATCAAGTTGTCTATGTCCGCTTCCTTCTCCCTGACCTCCTTAAGAACACCCACGACGTTCCGAACGTCCTCCAAGTCCTCCACCTTCAACGACATAACGAAGAGAGGTTCTAAGAATCCGAGCGACGAATTCAAGAAGTTTCGAAAAGCTTATGAGTGATTGAAAGAGAATCGTGAGCTCAAAAACGCGACCATTTGAATTTGCACGAGTGAAATGATGTGTGCATACACAGGTAAGGTGTAATTACAGAGATTTAGCGTGACTAACCAAAGCATGAATCACCGTGGACTAATGTACGACTTCGTTTGGTGACGTCTCTCGCTAAACGTGCACATTTCAAGAATGGTCCAAAACTTTATTTACGAGTGCACCAATTTCCAAATAGCTGCTGCCAACCAACCGGCAAGATTTAGAGCGATTCTTATCGTAGCTCAGAGATAAGAGGTGTGCATACGCCCAGATTTGCCAATGATGCCACGCTGCGGCACCCATGTCGAAATCCGGAAAATTCGCCAACAAATGCGTAAAGAAGAGTTCCAATAGAGTGCGGGAAGATTATGCAGGCTCATGCTACCGCCGGAAATTCTGCGGCAGTTCCACGACAATTAACAAAAAATTTGTGCCACACGCTGAGTCTCCCTTGGCACCGCGCGCACACCTTCCTGCTGAGTTTCAGGGTCGTCTCCCTAATGTAGTTGTCCAGAGACTTGAGCTCCTCTGATCCCTGCTTGTGCAAATTCTTCGCGAACTGAGCCTTCCAGGAAGCAGCCTCCGCCTTGAGGGAATATTTCAGCGGCTGGGTCTCCAGGCTGAGCGACCCTATGTTGTGGATGGATGGTATGTTGGCGACGTCCGTCTCTATGGCCATGTACTTCTTCAGCTCCGCCTCGAACGCCTCCAGGGAGGGGTTGGTGGTCATGAAGTTCTCGTACGCCTCCTGGAGGCTCTGGCGCCACAGGAATGAGTACACATCGAACGTGGATATGTACTGCATGACCTGCTGCTTTGTGCCCTCCACGCTCCCTGTTGATGTGACACACCTCGCTGAATTCTGTTTTCAAATCGTGGAATTGGGTTTGGCATGCGCAAATCTGCCGGAAGAATGAACGAAAATTCGTCACATTTGGAGCAAATTTGTCATAAGACATGTGTTCAATTATCTCTCTCTTTGATGGAGTTTTCCGGAACGAGTTGGTCGCAAGCATGGTGATAACTGCTGCGCAAAGTCGCCTGCCATAACCATTTTGCTTGACAGCTTCATGGTTATGTGGAAGCTTGTGTCACAGGTGGTCGCCCAGAAAAAAAGAGCTCTCTGCAGTTGGAATTCTGGGTGCAATAAGTGCATACGCATGCATTCGTAGCGATGGAAATGGAGTAAGAAACTGTACTGGATTCATCATAATAATAGGGAGATCAATGTCCATTGATTTCTAGTGCATCGAATGTCCCAAATCTGGTTATCTTGTGAATGGCATAGGATCCCTTTCTCTTGCGCTCTCAAACTTTCAAGAACATGTAGCCACACGTCCATCACGTTGCCTTAATAATTTCGTCGAAATCAAAATGTACGTTCAAGTATTTTTGTTCTGAAAGTAGATATGACTATTTGGCATCAATACATGCGGAAGAAGGGCAAAAATGTTGCGAAAATTTCTCTTGCTTCGGTGCGAAGGAGTTTCGGCCATAGTTGACCACGGCAGGCTTGGTTTTTACATTTACATTTACTTTGCTGCATTTGTGGTTTTGCGCGTAAAAACGTAAATGTGCGAAAGGGCCATTTCTTACGGCTATTTTTACGTTTTTATGGCTCCCTGGGACTTCCAGGTTACACGATGAAAGAAACATACAATGATCAGTCCTTCGCCATATCCACCACCGCGACACAGTGTCCACCTCGTCTTTGGCAAAGGCGATGATGGTGTTTAACAAAAACTCATTTTCTGCCCCTTACACGCGTCAGACTGCCACTCGCCGGACTCTGTAAATCTGTGTGTACTGTCCTTATGTACACGGGAAGTTTTTACGTTGTATTTACCTATTTTTACGCATTTTTACGCGGAAAAACGTAAATACGATCAGTGTTTTTACGGCGTGACAACCAAGCCTGGAACGCAGAAAGCAAGATAATGGAGTGCGCATTTACCAACTGTTGTGAGCAGGTCTAAAGTGACACATAATGAATTCCAAATACTGATGTGACTTCTTTTATGATCGTCACTCGGTCTGAAGAAGCATTGTTCACAAGCAAGCCTTCGCACCGGTGAGCAGAAGAACCACTTTTACGACTTGCTTGTCTTTCGCAATCATGTCGTAGTAGGTCCCCCCGTCTCCCCCCTCCATTCCCCATGCGTTGATCTTTTGGGAGCACCCCAGAATTGCCTTCGCCGTGGTGTTGATGGCGCACTGTATTTCTTCCAGGCTGGGGTTCATAGCCACATTTGGAACCTGGGTAACGTGGTGCACAAAAAAATGGACTGCTTGATGGCTGCCTTGAGTTTCCTATCAGATTCTCGGGTTGCTAAGGCATGACCAGCACAAATATGTTCCTATCACATGGCTGTGCACATTGGATTTGCACTGAATCCGCATTGCATTCAAGAAGCAACAACGAAGCAATAGCGTGCTCATGATATCTGATTCCACCAGATACCAGGAGTACTCGATGCTTGAGTAAGCCTTGGAACGTGTCGCTGCACATGTATTTGGAACCCTGTCTCGTGGTTGCCTTTTGCTGAAAGAGTGCACAGTTGAATCGCCTCTGAACATAACTCTACAAGCGAGAACGCCTAAAAGAATGCCTCAGGATTCTGGATTGAACGCAAGCGCCCAAATCCATGGACGTCTGCCAGTTTCTCTCCGTGACGTCCGGAGACATCGGCATCCGTAAAGAATTTCGATCGAAGTTTCAGCCGTTCCCTTGGCTCTGAACCGAATTACATATGCCTAGTGCATTTCGAAGCTGCCGCGAAGCTCCCCCCACCTTCAGTTCAACGTCCACGTCGAAAAACGGCCGCTCCATGAAGAATATCCCGGTCGAGCGCTTGGAAGCGAGACGCTTCTTCATGGCATTGAAGCTGTGTTTGGTGGCGGACAGGACCGCCCTGTACATCAGGTTGCTGTAGTGCCGCCGGAACATGCGGCAGTCCTCCTCCTTGAGAGTGACGTCAGTGTTCTCCCTGGGGTAAGTTCGAATCAGCTGGATGACGTCTTCCGTGGATCTGCATACTTCACGGTTCCTGACTCCCAGCATTTCGCCTTGCTTTTTTATGAACTTGCCTTGGGTGTTTATGAAATCTTCATACGTGAAAGACCTGCTCAGTGTACATGGGAGTACGGGAGCAACGCTTAGTCATGAGTATTGGCTCCAAGGTTTTCCAGCATGGCAAGAATCGAGGTAAGGGTTTTCGAAGCACATAAGCGCTGTAAATTTACTCATATTTTCAGACGTGTGTGGACAGTCTCCACAAACGGCTAATGGCGAAAAGCCAGGAATACTGTAAGCAAGGGTATACAAGATGGCGTAGTGTTGTCTACGATAATCAGAATGTGGATTAATTGCTGCGGCTGACCTCTCAATATTCTGAAGGAGCACTCAAAGTGCGCACTTTACCCAACATTTGGACAACGGAGAATCATCGCGGCATCTCCACCGCTTCCTTGCAGCGCCGCTGAGGGCCAGCAATATTCATTCGGCATTTCAATGACATTGCACTTAGCACGCGGAATCATCGGTGGCAATCACAACAGCATGTTATCAAGCTTCGCGCTGTCAAATCAAAACTGGAGGCTGGAAAACCTCAACAGAACCCTGAGCCCTGCAGTGGAAGTCACAGGCCTGCTCTACCTTTCGCTGGGTAGGTCCACCATAACCGTCTTGCTTATTGCCTTCAAATTGGCCTCTACCCTGTTTTGCACCAGATCGTTGATCTTCCTGACAAGTTCTTCCAGACGCGCGAGCCCCTGGTGCACTCTGTGCAAGTAGCCGTCTATATTCATGGAAGTCCAAGTCAAACTGTACATTCCAGGAGACAGCTTTCGCTCGAGGTCATCCAGATGCGGCTTCAGGAGGGGCTTCACAACTGGTTGGATCTGTGACATGACTCTCTCGTGTTCTTTGATCGAGTGCATGAGGTTGTTGTAGTAATACTTGAACTTTCGCTCCTGGTACGTGGCAAGTATAAGGTTATGGGGACCGTAGTGATGGGGAGCGTATTCGGAGAAGCGGTAAATCGCATTCGAAAGTGCAACAGAGCAAAGACAATGGCTTGTAATGTAGAATAAACTAATGCAAGCACTGCTGCACATCGAACACATCTTTTTTAAGTGCTTATAATTCAGGCTTGGGAAATACGGATACGGTTTAAAATATTAATACGATGAAAGACGTGTATTATCGCGTATTTTCTGTTGGGTTAAAAAACGTCCAAAAATGGGGCAAAAATTTTCACATTTACAACTTCAATGACATGCAAGTTTAATCATTTAGGATCCATGTCCGACCCACCCATGGCATGCTCACACACTGCCTCTACAACAGCAACGATGTTGTTAAACAACTTCTCATCCCCAAGTCACCCAAGAGCGTCAGGCTGCCATTTGCTCTCACAACATCAATGACATGCAGATTCAATCAGTCAGCATCCACGACGCTTGGATGCATTGGCGCCGCTGCCCACATTTGTAGCTTAGTTGCACAGCTTCCTTTCACGACGCTGCTCTTGCAAGCGTATAATTTCCTGAGTTTATACAGCTTCTGGCACGTCCCCACCACACAGAACCACCCCAGATCCGGTGATTCCAGTCAGGTGGCAACACCGGCGAACATCGCCGCTCGTCGCAATGACGCCACAGTACACACACGTCCCGCGCTTGGCTCTGACATCGGCAAAGTCACTAGCGAAAAAAGGTCCAAATAGCAGTTTTGCAAACACACATAAAACACATTTCGTGAAAGTTGCGCATGCTCAGAACAAGGAAATAACCCAAACCCGTAAACCTTGTACACGTTTCAACACGTGCTATCGGCCCTTCTTTTCCTAGTGCGTGCTGTGCAGTTTTAGGGACTATCGGAATCGCCACTCACGCCTTGCCGCATCCACAACACGCCCAGCTCCCTCATGACGTGCATGCTGCGGGTCCGCGAGACGCAAGTGGCAGGTCTCATTAAATAATTGGCTTTATTAATCGTTATTTTGTATAACTGATCTAAAATACGTCTAAAATACACGCACTTTAAATTTTGCCAAAATACCCGTATTACTGCATATTTTTTTAGGACCGGCCGTAATTCCCAAGACTGTTGCAATTCTACATTCTCGCTATTTATCGCTTTTTTCCATCGATGTCCATAAACTTACATTTCTGGCTATCGCGCGCACCATTCCCAGCGAATGGACGTGCATTCTTGAGAAAACACCAGAGATTGCCCATTTTTGCATCTGAGGGTTGCGAGAACCTTAAGGATATCTTTGAATTGAATCTTCACTTGAACGAAACTCTTGTATTTGAAATTGTTAATTGCTTGAATATTCACAAGACTATCCAATCGTTTCTCCATTTAAATGGGCGCATCTCGACAGCGCATTTCAGCCGCACCTGTACCAACACAACCCTGGCGCTCTCCGGTACATATATGCCCATACCCTGAAGGTACTTCGTCTCCTTGATCAGCTGCATGATACCTTTGTCGAAATTCACAAGAAGAGCGCCCGTGTCGGGGTGGCGAATGAGCAGGGTGCTCTGGAGCCCAGCCTTAGATTGGTCTATGTACTTCATCCATGCCTGGTGCCACAAAGTCTCGAACTCCACCAAAGCCCTGGCAACCTGGACGCACATTGCGGCTGCCTTCAGCATATCGCAAGGGCGAAAGCGTATGCGAGACGCTTCTCAATGCGAGTACCGGAAACCTACAGGGATTTTTCAGTGGTGGAACTGGCAGCAGAATAAGCCGATATCGGTTGGGTCCATTGAGGCGCACAGGGCAAGGCTGGGCCATCAATGTCCGGCGCCAAGAGGGGGTAAATCGCTTTTGAATTGAGACAAAGAAATCGGAACCGAAATGTGCATAAAGCGATTTCAATGTTGCGAGATGCTAGCATAAGTGATTTCAGATGTTGAGTGCACTCCTGCCACATAAAAATGTGCCGTGCCCCAATCGCGACGTAGGTTTTCGTTGAAATGTACGGCAGAGACCCAAAAACACGGGTACATATTGGGATTTTTGGCACTTCGGTTGAAAATACGCTGAAGTGCGGTGGAATTTCACTGTTTACTTACAGAAGAGTTCTGTTCCATTTTAACGCAAAATGCAGTTTTCTTGTTAAAAGAAATTCTATGTGGTACGTGCCTCATAATTTCATTGTGACTCTCATTTTGCTGCCCGAAATTGGGAAAGTGAACCTTCAGTGCACGCCAGTGCCTAGCAAAGTCTTCGCCGCATCACTCGCACGTTTGTGCAATAATAAACACATATTCGTCATTTCCGCAGTCAAAGAAGTAAAATTTTAAATTTGGAAGTGCAGAAATCTCAGTAATCATGTGAGGAACTCGCCAATGATGAAGTTTCTACGGTGTCGGCTTTTCCACAACGGACTGCACCTTATTGTACGTCTTTACAATTCTCTTGGACTCTTTGGTGGACATAATTATTTTGTTGTCGGCAAAGTTTTTCATTGGCCTCTCGATCCTCTGGAAGAGCTGCCGCGCCCACATGATGTTGCCCGCTACGGGAGGCGCATTTCTGACGACTGGCGGGTTGGATTTGTGCGTCTCATAGATCTTCTGCACCGCATCGACGTCAAGGCCGTAATTCTGAAAGATGACCATGTACTTGGCGTTGAGGTCCGCCTTGAGGCTTTCCCTCTGGAGGATGGATTGGAACTGGCGCAGCAGGTTCAATGCGTGATCCGTGGAGGTGATGTTCTCAAAAGAAGAGTTGATGAACCCCTGTGACAGAAGTGGCTGAAGTCAAGCAACGGGACGCAGATCGGCGGCGAGGGTCAACTTTCGATATTGGCCTCTTCAGAAAAGCTGTTTCGTTTTGCGGACGGGAAATCCGAGGATTTGTGAATCATACATGCAGCGGGCATGCAGAGTGTCGAGAAAACTGCACAGATGTTCTGAGGACGTGTTCCTTACGAATTTATACATCCAAACAGAGGTATTATTCATACAAAGTCACTACGATATTTGTGTGCACTTTATGTATTACACTGTGTCGCGGCCACCAGGGAAAAAAGGGAACAATAACACGTGTTCGAACGTGAACAAACTTTACGGGTTTGTGTTAATTTTCGTGTTTTTAGCGTGCAGAACACTGACGAAATGCGTATATATATGTGTGTGTGTGTGTGTGTGTGTTGGCAAAACGTGCTATTTGTTCTTTTTTTGCTAGTGGGCGGTAGCTGAGGACCGGCTTAGTGCTGAGACCGCGTGAAAGGACAACGCCGCAAAGTTGAGTAGTGCAATTGAAACACAGAGTCACTACTTTAAGTGAATGTATCTTGTGGTCAATTCACCGGCCGCTCGCCACGCATCTTACCTGGAGAGCCATCTCCAAGTCATGTATGTTCACATTGAATTCCAGATAATCCCTGTCAAACTGATTCTTGCTGTAGTCCAAAAGGTCATACGGCTTCCTTTTCACGTCGTCCACAATGTTGTAGAAATTCTTCATCATCGTGCCCAGGCCGTCTATGTGGGTGTGGTGAGCCAGCGAAGAGAATTGGTGTATCGTCGTGAACATGTTCGTGAGTTTATCCAGCCGTTTCGCAAACAAGTTAAACTTGAAGAAGATTGCCCTCTCGTCGAATTCGAATTGTTTGGCCTTCGGTTGAGCCGAAAGCCTGTCTCGAGTCAGTTGGTACTGCTCCTGATAGACCTTGTTCAATCGAATGGCTATCTGCACAGAATGGGAAATTATGCATTCATTCTGAAGACACAAATACAAAACAATATTACACTATATGTGCTCAAAAAAATGGGAAATTTTGGGTACACTTGCCGGATTGTGCGAGATGTAGTAACCCTCACTTGGGAGAAAGTAACACAAGGCACAGAACTTTCTTGTGCTTGCTTGTAGTGCAAGAAAGTGCTGCAGCCACTTTTCATGACTGAGCCTTTAGTGGAATAGCGCTCGCGTGGGAACTGTGAGTCATTTTTTCGATAGCATCTTATGATTTGCCAAGGCCTTGATTTTATTGAAATCACAGCAAATTGCTTTTCGCCGGCTATTTGAGAAACACGGGACATTCTGTATCCTCAAGCAGTTAGATTGGAAGAAATTTCCCAAGGAATCTGTCCTTCACATGCAGGCTTCGTCTTACGGCGCAAGCGCGGTTCATTTACACGCATTTACGAGCAAAGGCAGTATTTGCGTCTTAGCGCTTCAAAAAGTGTAAAACTACGTAAATGCAGGCGCTGTATACCTAGCGGTAGTACATGCTGACTCAGGGAGTTCGGATAGGGGCAGCCAGACGCGCTGGAGGAGGCACAAACGAACTCTTGTCCGGCGACATCTTGGAACTTGCCAAAGGGGAGGTGGAAGCTGTGTTACTGGCGTTCTCGTGGGCTGAGTACTGATCTTTGTTGGTGATTTTATCTTGCAACCTGGGTGCTTTAACGACTGTAAATATGCAAAAGTAGCCTTTTCGTGTTTGCGCGTTTTCAAACATACATGACAACATTCGCAAAGCGGACGTATTCGTTACAGAAAATAAGCAAAAATCATGACAGCGAAGAAATTTCTGGCTATTATTTCATTTCAGAAATCTACTTTGAGGCGCCGCTTATTAGTTTGAATTGCCAAATTTTCAAATAAATCTAATAGATAAGGATCTCATGCAACTAAACATACAAATACAAAAATCAGGTGTCGATACACGGATAAGACTTACTTGCAAAAGAGGAAGTCCTTTAAACGAAATTGAATTGTATGTCGACAGCACTGATGATGGATTCAAATCCATTATTTGTAAATTTTTTAATGGATAAACTTGAGTAATCCACGGCAACCAGCAGCTTTGTTTAGTAGCGCTTGAGAAAATCCGGAATTAAGCAAACTTGTGTGGTGAGAGACTTTGTGACACAAATGTTAAATTACTCGGTAAGACTACAGCGCCTTGCATTATCCGTCGGTGCATGATGAAGCTTAAACAAATGCAACCAATGAATTGCGCTCACCTGCATGTTCGCAATGAGCGTCGGCTTGTCCTGGTCCCACAGTTTTCCGTGTAGCATTATGTGCTGTTTACAGTTTTTAATCATTTGGTTTGTCATCTTTTTGAAAAGAGTCGTCATGCGCTCAGGAGTGCTGTAATACCTCGCTATCGTGTACACCATCTTGAAGTTGTTCATGAGTGTTGGCAGACAATCTATGATGTCCTGAGGGGAACCTGTGTACATGGGCTCCAAGCTCTTCTCCAAAGTCGTCAGGTACTTAACGTTGTCCTTGGATTCATTGGCCCCATCGGTTATCTGCAGATTTCATTGACAGCGAGGTCGTTGGTGGTGAGTTTCAAATACAACACACTTGTGAAGGGAAGGGCTACATCCGCGGGTACTTGAATGCTTATCGCAAGCGAACAGAGACAAACCACTGGTAAAAAACAGGCCAGATGACACAGTTCTGACACGGTCTGCTTAAAGTCCAACTGTGTACTTTCGGCAAATGTGGCCCCAAAAGTACACAGTTAGTACACACATTGACACAGTTTTAACTGTGCATCCTAGGAAACCGTGTATTCTACACAGTTGTTTGAGGGTACACGGTTGAAACTGTGTCAATGTGTGTACTAACTGTGTACTTTTGGGACCACATTTGCCGAAAGTACACAGTGGATTCTGAGCAGACTGTGTCAGGACTGTGTCATCTGGCCTGTTTTTTCCTAGTGAACACGGCGATGTACGCCATGCTGCTGTTCAGGCAGCCGACAGCGTCATTAGAAAGAAAAACTCCGCTGAGGTGTGGCTGGTATCCATGATTAATGCAACACAAAATCACGTAGAAGCGGCGGCATCGAGACTGTCTGTGTAGACACAATGACGCAATATGGCGTACCACGTCGCCATGTGGACTCCTGTGGCTTCTGAGAGTGAAGTCTTGTCCCCAAGCAATTGAATCACACCATTTGAAACCCTCCCGTTGATAGCGAACAGGCAACAATCGAAACGCGACACGATCGACTGTGCATTGCGGGGTGTTCACAGGCGGCGCCCCCAGTAGTCGCGGTATACGCTCTTCAACTGTTGCGCGGCTCCAACCAGCAGAACAGAACAAGTCTTTCCGCACACGCACACATGAATGGAAGCGTCCCTGGAGCAACCCATGCCCCATTAGAAGCATACCGCCACTGCACCCGCCAAATTCAGTTCACCTTCACGTCCAAGGCCCTCCACTTCTTGTAAGCCGACGACCTGCTCGAGCTCCCCACGCCCAGCACCAGCCTGCTCTTCTTGGTCTTCAGCTGCTCGGTGACGGCGTTGAACTTCGCCATGCGCGACCTCCAGAACACCAGCTCGGAGTCTGGGCCCGCGTCCTGCTCCTCCTGCCTTTTGCTCGTCTCTTGCAGCAGGCCCTCCACCGTGTGGCACCAGCTCTGCAGGCAAGCATCCAGATCCTTGGACGCACCGTTCTCAGCCGCCGCCGCCGTGAACGAGCCAGGATTTAGGCCATACTTCTGCAGGTAGCTCTCGTCCGGCTGCTGCAGCTCAATGCCGCCCACCAGGCTGTTGGCTGCCTCGGACAGTAGGTTCACAAACTTGGTGCCCAGGTTGAGGAACCCCTTCACCTGGTCCTCGTGCACCTTTCCCCACTGCGCGTTGGACCTCAGCACCGGAAAATATAGGTCTGACACCAAATCCTTGAAAGATTCCAGGGCGCCGCGGCTGACCTCGCCGCAGGCCATGTCCTGCTCCGGCGCCTTGGAACCAATGCCTTTTGGATTGACCCTTGTGAAGAAGACGGCCTTCTCTTTGAGGGGAGCATCCTGGAAATGCACAATTGCGATACTTGAATGATGTGCAGCAATGTCACTTGCGGATACTCAGAGCCAACATTCTGCGACTGCGCAAGCCCACTGAATGAACGTGTTCTGTTAAAATGCTCCATTATCACATCGCATTCTAATTTTTCAGATCCGCGCAATCTGTGCAGAGGGGCTGGTGTGAGTCATAGAAAAGGTTTCAGAGCGATGCCAGATCACGAGCGTGATGCACAGCGATGCACTCGAATCATAGAGCAATTCAATGGAGGTGTTTTCTATCTCCCGCGCACCTAGCGTGCCCGGCACAGCGCGAGGAAGCTCTGGACATTGGCAATACCTGCCCAGATGTGAGAAACAGCTGGCGGGCAGCCCCTGGAGACTCTTCTTCATGGTCACCCGGCACCTGCGTTTGTTCGCGCTGGTCTCATGAACCTGTTGGAGATCGGTATTCACATTTTCCCAGGGACGGTAAGACAGTTCATTGCCATTACATAATTTTTGACGTTTTGCGATGGTGGTCATTGCTAAAACATGATGTGTTATTCTAGATCTGGCGCCATGCAGTACGTGGGAAACAGGTGCCAGAATGCAAGCCGGCAAGGTCGTCTGGACCATTGCAATACTGATTCCCTGGGCGAGATGAGAATAAAGTTGAGTCGTTTACAGGCCATTATCATAGGTACATGTTTTAAAAGTTCTCCGGGATCTTTCCTACATCTTCGCTTCCAAAGCTCTGCGAAAATATGAGTCGATTGCACCGTGGTCATGAACTTGACGTATGCAGTGGTGCACATCACTGTAACAAACGGCAACGGAGGGAAATGAAGGACCTATGCCTTTGTGGTGCAGCAAGATATTTGTTCATGGTATATCATTTTTCTATCACATGTCTATAACACACCAAGTATGGAAAGCAAATGGAGCCGCAGCCATGGTGGACATCATAAGGATTGATTCTCGCGGCAATGTATCCATGGGCCAAATTATGCAATTATCTCTGAGCTCAGAGCCCAGAAGCAATTCAATACACCTGATAGAACCACAGAAGCGCAGGCTGTCCATTGGGCTCGAAGAAATTTGCGATGCTGTCCTTGGAAGCCCTGTAGAACAAAGATCCTTGCATCACTCCAAGGAACCATTTGGAAACAACCAAAGCAGGCGAGAGCGCATAGAGGTTTGAGTTAGCATCCCTAAAACTAAAATTGTTCGTGAGCGGTGGACGTGCTTGCAAGTGGGATGGCATGTGCTTGAAGCTCAAATACAGGCACAAGGAGCCACTTGGAGTTACCCAAAGCAGATGAAGGCACGCAAGCGCTCCAGTTTGCATCCGCAGAACACAAGCAGCTCATGCGCGGTGGACGGGCTTGCGCTTGCAAGCTGACACATCGGCGCAGGGATAGTTCCCTGACCCATGCAGCGCTGGCGGAGCAAAACACACCCACTTGACTCTGGCGTCGGTGACGTCCGTGCTCAGGTCGAACGCCTCGGCGAGCTGCGCGAAAGCCGTCAAAGCCTTGAGTCAAACCAAGCAACCGCTGCAGACGGCCTCAGAAATCCCGGCCGAGCAGCAGGGCGCACGCTCTGCAGTCTGGAGCCCACGCCGCGGGAGAGACCGGCCCAAAGATGCGGCAAGCAGCGGCCCACTGCCGCACCTTTGAGGATATCCATCGCTGCCTGGTGTCCAGGGACATCTCTCCTGGGGTCAAAGGCGATCCACCCCAGCTTTGGGTCCCCTCGGCGGGCCTCAATGCCCCGCCTCCTCCTTATCTTTCGCCCTCACATGCTCCAAGGTCGCCGCACACCCCCCCCCGCCAGTGCAGCGCGGCTGGCGTCGCGGTGGCGGCCGAGGACTGGGAGCAGCTTCGGCGCCTTGTTTCTGGCGTGCTGACTGGAGCTCGAATGGCGCTTGCCACGGCGGAATGTTGGCCTGGCAGAAAAAAGTGACGGAAGAGGGGCGCAGGGATTATGAAGCACGGTGCTTGTGTTAAGCGTCAGGTTTCAATGAACTGATCATGTACACTGCTTTGCTCGGGCAAAATGGGAAGCTGGCAACCACCTCATTCCCTGGTTATTTAAAAATGAATGATGGAGAAGCACGGCGGTTTAAGATGGGGGTGCTGGTCATCGGCTGCAGCATTCGATGGGATGCAGCTAGGCCGGGAGCCTGCAGGCAATGAAGGGTTCAAGGGCAATGTCAGGGTGCCTGAATGACTGGTGTTCTTCCCATGACCCCCGCCTGCGCAGGCATGCCTGAAGTGCAGTTCATCTGTGGGGCACATGACGGCAGGTGCTGCCGAAAAATGCGCAGTGAATGCACCTACGTTGATGTTAGTCGGCGCACAGCGCAGGAATGACTGAAAGCCCTCATAAGCCAGATTTCCTCCTTCGCACCGAATGCTGCGCATAATTAAATTTCAGCTGCACCGGTGCAGCTGCCGGTGCCCATGGTACCATGGGCACTAGTCTGCGGGGAGAATGGCTGGAATCTAAGTGCGATTTGATGGTGCGTCCCACGTTGGTGAAAACTGGTCGGTGGTCGGGAGTTTGCTGCATGTGTGCTGGACACACGTGTAAGTCCACCACCGGGGCAAATCATCGGATGACTGCTATGGGAAGCAGTGCACTTCACTTTGCTTGTCAAGAAGTTCTTGACCATGGACACCGCGTATGGCATCTCTTGAGTTTGAACGCGCCCGGAAGGAGCACGAGTATGATTCCGCATATGCGTTCTGCTGGACAATGTTGCTCCCTCAATCCCTGTTTTGGGGCTTCCGGATTCTAAGGGTTGGTCGCCCCACAGACCTTGCGTCCATAAAGAATCCCGGGAAAATGCACTGCCCACATTGATCCTGAACAAAATCTCGTATACACAGGGAGGTACGTCACTGCTCTGGTTGCCAAGAAGCCGGCTGCAGTCCCCCCAGTAGCCTAGTTGGCTAAGTTTGTTCGAATGTTCTGAAGTACACGCTTGCAACGAATCGACAGAGGGAATGCCGCTGTACAGTACGGAGCTTATGAGTGCGGTGGGCGTCCCAATCAGCATCCGCTTAGTGACTGGCCCAATCAAGTCGTGTGCTCTTCAGCAGTAGTGCACTCCAAGCCCAAACCCAAGGGGCACACAGTTTAAGCAAAGGCCCCGTACCGTTCCACGAATTACCCGCGGGGCTACCGTCCACTGGATAGCAGCCTGCCACTTTTGTGTCGGTCAACAATGGTCACTGTGTTTAAGTCATTTAACTCATGATTGACCCCGTTCCCGAACTTGGGGGACAGACTGGACAGATTAGTCCCAAGGGGGGGGGGAGGCAGAAGGCCCGCCAGCACCCTCCCTACTTTGGCTCACCAGCCCAGCCATCCACATTGGCGAGCACATTCCTGGGCAGCGCCCCTGGCCTCATGGCCAAGGAGGAGGGAGCAACGGGAGGCAAGGTCAGTGCCCAGGGTGCCCAGGGGCAGTGGGTCACGACCCTTGGGGCGGAAAATTGCAGACGCCGCAGCGCTGGGCGTCAGCAACGCTGCAACGTCCCTGGAACGCTGTCGAGGCTTTCGGGGAACGCGTTGCGTGCTGTGGACGCATGGTTTGCCTGGTTTGGCGCGTGGCCGCAGTTGACGTCGGTTCGCTTGTGCCTGGGCACGCCCGGTGCCAGACAGCAATGCCACTGCGGGGCCAATTGGGGCGCGGAAACCAGCAGCAAAAGCCGTTGGTCTGTCGGACGGGTTGTTGTGCAAGTGCATCACACTTCGACGTGCACGATATCACAGCGGTTGCCCCATCTGGGAGCCTTGCATGCAGTAATTGCAAGTGGCGATTGACAACCCCCATCTGGCCGGCCTGGATTGCAGGTGGTATTTCGACATTCCTTTTGTCCAGCCTGCCATGTTTGGCGAGTCCTGGTTCCAGCCAATGCCCGGTGCATGGAGCATTCTTCTGGCAGTGCTGCTATGAACTTCTGAAGCATGGGCCACTTTGCTTTTTCCACGCGGCAGTTCCCCGGTGACTACGGCTGGGACACCATGCGCCTGTCCGCAGACCCCGAGATCTTCAAGAAGTACAGGGAAGCCGAGCCGCAGCACGCTCGCTGGGCCATGCTTGGCGTGGTCGGATGCCTGACTCCTGAAATTCTGTCCAAGTACGGAGGGATGGACCTTGGAGGCACTGTTTGGTTCAAGGCCTGGGTCGCAGGTCTTGAGTGTGGGCGGCCTGAACTACCTTGGTAACGCCAACCTTGTGCACACACAATCGGCTTTGGCGATCGTGGGCGCCCAGGTGGGGGCCGTAGAAAGAAGAGTCACTTGAATTTGGGCTTTGTACGAACCTGTCTTCTGTTCCGAAATTGATCGGTGCCAAATGCTGCTGTTATTTTCTTTGAATTTGATTGTTGCAGGCCAGTAGAACAGCAAGACTGCACAGCTATTATTGATGCAAGGGCAGTGCTGTTCCAGTCATTTGCCATCTGCACTCCATCTACCACTCCAGCGTGTCCCAACACCCAATCCCACCACATCGACTTGTTGGCTGTATAAAGAATTGAGAAACAGCCTGAAGAGACAACTGGAGTCGATGATGGGCGGGTACCTCCTCGTCCGGTTAGCTGGCTGAGATGAACAAGTTTCGAACATCTCGTGTTGAAGATGCCCATCTGAGTGGCCGGCTGATGCCTGATTTGTGTTATTGGCCAGGTGCTGCTGATGGGCTGCTGTGAGGGATACTGAGCAGACTCTGATCCTGCTGGTGAGTGTCTGGACAGGAGCTACCCTGGTGGCGACTACTTCGACCCCCTAGGCCTTGCCAAAGACCCCGGCACCTTTGCTGAGCTGAATGTCAAGGAGATCGGGAGTGGCAGGCTTGCCTTGTTTTCCATGGCTGGTTTCTTCGCCCAGGCGATCTGCACAGGCAAGCGGCCAGTGGAGAACTGGGCAGAGCACGTTGCGAACCCCCGCAATGTCAATGGATTTAACATCTCGACCAAATTCTCGCCTGCTTATGTGCAGGATAGGGGTGTGAGGGCGGAACAGCTGCAACCGAGGGGTTGCTGTTTTGAAGTCTAAGTGGTTTTGTTGTTGGGCTGATGGAAAACATTGTAACATTGGAACAGCGCGGTTCACACCTTGCCTGGAAATGGATATTCTGAACAGATTGTAACGTTGTGCAGGTACGGTTCGAGAAGCGCTCTTGCCTGAAGTTTGCACGCCCGCTTTGTGTGGAGAAACAGCACCAACCAATTTGGGCTTCTTAAGGCATTGCTTTTGAGCATCTATGACTGTTGAATCGCAATCTGGAAGCAATGCTGGTGCTCAGACTGCCAGTGCATGTGGTGCCTCCTCGGATCTTGCTCCAAAAGTTGCAAGCAAAGCTGCTCGCCCCTGGGTCGTCAGAGAATTGCGAATTCGAGACGATGCATACAGGCATTCCATTAGATGTCCTCATGAGCAAAACTTGAGTTTTCTTCACACTGCAGGAGAGTAGAAGTCCCGCAGGGTGGCGGGAAACACTTGACAACGAGTGCAGCAAAGAACAAGCCAGATGCCATGCATGAAAGACCAGAACTGAGTGGGAAGACAAGAACATATGTGTTGGGACTGCCACAGATCTTCCCTCTGCGAGGGGTATTCACTTGAGGTGGAGGAGAGGTGTGCCCAGCACTCAGGCAGCATTGCATCTGTTAGAAATGCAGTTTCTGTTTCGAAACATTGGCTGGCAGGGCCGCATCCTGCTACTGCTGTGGGTGGCCGTCCATTCTCTGCCATTGCGATGGCATCGGCACAGAACGCCTTGGACCAACTCTCTGTTGCAGGATACTCAAGCGACGGAGAGCTACAGCAATTATTCTGCACAGATTGATGCCCATAGCCATTCTGTTGTCCTCTGCCCATCTTCCCACCAGACGAACTGGGCACTTGCTGCACATGCACTTGTTTCTTGATCGGGAAGGATGCTTCCCCCTATGTGTTGCAACACTGCCCTGCGAAAACAGGACAGCCTTGCCTTGCAGGCCAATAGGTCCACCCGCTGTCAAGCTGCTGCCCGCAGACATTAGTTCCTTGCCCCTTGCTCTGACTGGCAAACTCGAATGTGTGTTCTACAACAAACCTCGCGTTTATGTTCTACAGTGCAACATACACAACAATCCCCAAAGCTCCTCCTAACTGCGACATGTACAGAGCTACCCCATGCGACCCCCTCTAATGACAGCGGTTCAAGCCCGCACGTGCCTCACAAAACTGGTGACATTCCATACACTATCTGCCTTAACCGAAACTTGTCTACCATGAACGGCCTCACGTCTGGGACCCAAATGAGTTTGTGCAGGAAGCTCAGCAGCTTCAGAAGCTCACTATCTTGGTCGTCCTCATAGAACGATGCGATGGGGACGCCGTTGTCCAGTTGAAAGCCAAACGCCTGAACCAGGTTGTCCACTATGACAACATTGCTCAGGTCACGTCCCAGCAACGACAAGTCCTTCACGTAAACACCATCCACCTCAACACAGGAATCCCGAAAGAGCCTGTGCTTGAAGTACTTCTTCTCAGGATCCAGCATGCTCAGCAACCTGTCAGCATAGATCCTCTGCGACGCAGTGAACACCACAACCTCAAACCACTCGCACACGTGCTTCAGGAAGTGCACCAAGTGCGGGCGCTTCCTCACAAAGATCGCAGTGTCATCGGGGTGCAATATGGACACCCTGAACATGAGGTCGTGGCGGCGCTCCTCGTTGATCCAAGAGTGCACCAGTGTTTCGTCTAGATCCAGGACAAGTGTCTTCCTGCCGGCTTGCCTCCTCATCATCATGGGCAGCACAGGCACACGCCATTTGTCCACCAGGAGGTTCAGGCATGGCAGCGCTCGAATGACTTCGAACTGTGCCACCAGATCCTCGACCTCCTCCTCGTAATTGTCAGCCAGTAAGGCTTCATGCCCGGGGTTGGCATTCTCGCCTGTGCCCGCCAAATGGCTGAGGACGATTGGCCCAGTGTATTGGTCCTTGGTGCAGTCCACCTGTTTAGAAAACGAGGATCAGTTGTGGACACTGGAGGGGGGAAAGCGTTGCTGGAAGGCACTCAATTGAAGTTGTGCTGTGGCCATGGATGATGAAGACGCTGAGTGCTGCCTGCAGTGGGAGTGGTTGAAGACAAACGTGCGGGAAAACCACAGCAGTGCAGAGCAGCACACTGGTTTCGAGGAAAGGGAATCCAGACGAAGTCATCGCGCATAGCCATTAACGGATGGCGTGGAGAAGCCTTTGAGCGTTGTTCCCCTCTGCATTAGCCCCTCTTCATTATGGACACCATGACATCCATCAAAAATTCAAGCCCAAGCAGTGAGGAAGGGCTTGCCAAGGCAGCTTGCCAACAAGCGCACGCGTAGCAGAGAGAGGCACACTGCAAGCAGAGCGCACCTTGAACGGCAATCCGGGCACACCAGCTTGGCAAAAGGCGTCAAACGCAAAAACAGGTTTTTGACGATGCGGCCCAAGGCCAGCTGCCCGCAAAGCGATGGCCCCAGTGATCAGAGCCACAAAACAATGCCGTCGGCGTGCGGGGCGGCATCTCCGTGGCCTGCGCCGCGGAGCGAACGGGGCTCGGCCACGCTCCGCCCACGCGTTCGCCCGCAAGGCCGCACGCCTCGCGCGCGTCGCTCATCGGCACGAGCGCAATCAACGCGACCACGTGCGGTCGCGGAACGCAAGCCCGATGGACGGCGAAGATCGCCGCGGTCGCGACGATCGCCGCGATGCCCGCCACGCCAGCGGGGCGCCCCACCGCCTTCTGCGCTCCACGCGGGGCCAAAACATCCCGCGCGGCAATCCCAATCCGACGAGGCAGACGTCGCCCCCATTCGGCCGAATCCCCCCGCCTTTCCTCGTGCCCAGCGCGCGGTCACCTGGGCCCACTGCCGATTCCCTTCCCCCCCCTTCCCGCCCCGCGCCCTCCCTCACCTGATCCCAGTCAACATCCAACCGGCGCCGGACGCGCCTCCTGGGCGATGAGCTCCGCCCCGTGCGGGACGACCGCAGCGACCGCAGCTCGTAGCGCCCCCCTTCCGCCACTGGTCCGCAGCCTGCACCTGACAATTTTCGAATTCGGATTATTTCCCCATTTCCCTTGCCGAGCACCGGCGCGACTGACCCAAAGGATGGTGATCGCCGCCCACCGCACGGCCGCCTGTCGCTGTTACTGCTGATGATGTCGACGTCCATCGCGACGGCTGCCGGGGGGGGCGTAGGGGGGGCGGACGCCCACGGGCGCGGGCCCGCGGGGGGGTGAGGGGCGGGTCGCGGGGCGATGCAGCGGAAAAAATCTGCGCGGGAGGACAGGGGTGGGTGGCGCAGGTCACATCTTGGGCGGACAGTCAGGATTCGGACAGAAAGGGGGGCTGCCGCGTTGTGCGCGTCGCTGATGGGCGCGGGGGCTGACGTGTGCAATTGCGTGATTCGAAAAATACCGCCCGAAACTGGGGCGACGGTGCAGGCCTTGAAATTCGGCCACCTCCGTGGACCGGTGGCGGGCAAGCAACGCGTCTATTGTGTGGGAGGGCGCTCGGGGCACCCCCTTTTGTCATTTGCACCCCTGCAGAGGACCCTCTTTTGTCGTTTCCCCAAAAGTGATGATGGTGATGATGAAATGTGGCCATTCGCGGGAATGTCCTCCTGAACGTCCTACCCGTATCGATCGCGTTCGATATCGCATCTGTTTTTAATGCCAAAATCTCGACATCCCGGTGCCGTTGTTGACTGAAAGGCAAAGGAACAAAAAGACGCCAAGCACCCATTTTTAAAAGTCGTCAGAATACTGACGGCGCCGGGCCCACATTCAGCACTTCGTCAAATGGGGCGGGCGCACGCGCGATTCGGCTCGAGTAAGCGTCATTCTGAAGGTAGTGAAGCCAATTTTGTGAGATTGCGCCTCAGCATTGAAGGCGGGTATCCTGATATATTTGGTCGTCATCTTCCCGCCCGTGCTACACGGTTTCGAGCTTCAGTCTTGACCTCGAGCGACGCTGCAGTGACGGCAGCTCAGACGCGAAAACCAGGCTGGTGCTGCAAATTGACAAACAGTGCGCAATTGACGAGGGGAGGCAAAAGCAAACCAGATTGTCAGCCAACAGACTGTTTCTGCCCCTCGAATAGGGCCGTTCCGTGTTGCAAGATTGATGCACAGGGCGAAGGCCAAGCTTCGTGCACACCACAGCAAGCCCACCTGCTGTGCCCGGAAAGCAAGCAGCATCCAGATGGCACCAATGCTTCGGAGCTGACCCGATGCATGCGGGACATACTCCCTGTGCCGTCCCTTGGCAGCACACATGCAGTTCCCATCGTCAGTGGTGGATCGAGGTTGCGTGGCGAACCTACAGGTTCCAGCGAACCAAAGCCCAAGTCACACCTCCAGCTTGCGCATGAGCCCAATTTGGCTGCCATCCACAAAACTGCCAGCAGAGCACGGTTTCGAGCTGACGGCGGTGCTGGGAAGGGGACAAACGCCGATGTCGTGCAAAGGTTGCAAAATCGGTTGCACAGTGCCGCAAGAGTGCCACGAATATAGTGGAAGCACCTCAAACAATTTCAAGCCGTTGAGTCCAGTGTAGTGTTTAATGCCTATCCAAATCCCCGTGGGGAGAAAGCTGTCCACAGCCACAGCGACGTCCAGTTGTAAGAATCAGAGTAGAAGCACTGCTCCATCTCAGCACGCGTCCCAAAATCACTAACCTCATCCGTCAACATATCCAGCAGCACCCCGAGCGCGATAAGAAGCCTGGGACAGGCGGCAGCAGCCTATCAGTAGACATAGCCTCATCTCATAAGCCTCATGATGAGGCTACAGTAGGACAAATATCATATACTGCAGAGACAACGGCGAAGTGCAAAATGCCAGTGGGGCGTGATATGTACACTTCAACAAATGCAGTATGCACAAATCACCACCAAGAGCTATTCCTAACCTTGTCACATCCTTCACTCCCCTAACTGCAGCCCAAACCCAAACTTGTAGTCCTTCTTCCAATGATCCACCTCCCCTGACAAAATGAAGGTAACCCCTGGGTTCAGGCGCTCCTCAAGGAATGCTCCAATCAAACCGTTGGAGTCGATCCGACCTCTCACCCTTGCTCGTTGGAAAATGTAGTCATACCCTACCGTTGCAGTTGCCTCTCGAACATTCCAGTTGTAAAGCAGGTCCGCTGCAAGGGAGGCCTGCGGCAATCCCCACTTTTCTGTGTCACAATTATCGGTGATATTAGGAACCAAACAAGGCTGTGGTGCTCATTGCCCTGCAGTGCATATGATTTCAGTGCAACTGCCAGCCCACTCAACAGAGTCCCCACTGGTGCATGGTGCAGAAAAAAGAGTTCCAAGGTGCAAATCAACCAAAGCCTATCAATCTTCCAGTGCCAAAAAGGTGGTGGGGCAACCCTTTTGCAGCTTGCATGTGGCCATAAGAGTACATCCAGTCATATGAAGCACACGTTGAAGCTGGATGCCCAATGCTCATTGGGTGCACACGAGCGAGCTTAAGAGCTAAATAAAGCTTGGCAATGTCGATTGCAAAACATGTGGATGGCAGAAGGACATGCATGCTTTTGTGGTCCACAAACACAGTGCGCAGTTGGCAGCAATACTGCAGCTTTGGTTTACAACCCGACCAGTCAACACCAACTTGGTGGACCCACCTTCTCTCCCACTTTGTGAAGGTAGGAGAGTGATATCAATCCGGTGTCAGATAGCTGGCAAGTCGCGATATGCTTGTCACCAACATGCCTGGCAGCCAGTCCGATCCCTGATTTTTGC